TTTCATGATGAGAAGATGGTAAATAAATAAATCAAAAGTTCTTAGATGGCTAAAACATTAGCGAGATGTGCCTTAATTTTTTGTTATTGAGACAAAGATGTTAATGGTATTTCCTCGGACAAACAGAACCATGGGCATTTCTACCTATTATGAATCTCATCTTTAAGTTGAATGCTAAATGATCCACCATGCAGCACCCAAACCTGTCCTTATTTAGCCCCGCCCTCCACCACCTGAGAGCGGACTCTGTATGTTGAAGACTTGAGCTTGGTGGACGGACACAACGGAAGGTGCTGTGGACATGCGATAAAGATTATGCATCTAAAAAGAATATCAAATGTGTCGAAGCACCTTTAGGTTCTCTGGTTGATCTTTCTGCAAAAGTAAGGTTGCGATAACTTCAGGCTAAAGTTTGGTTGGTTCCTCTAACATTTTATTAGCTTTGTGTGTTACTGTGGAAAATGCAGTGATTTATGGCTGGACAGGAGGTTTAATGTTCAGCAAAGTTTGCCTGCTTGTTCATGTGCAGTTGACACGTAATATGTTCACCCGCTCAGGTTATACGTGCTTTGCTATTACATAGTATTGTAGCCTAAGGCTAAAAGCCATAAAAAATATGGTGACCAGATGTCCTCATTTCTGCGGACCATCCCTGTTTTGGATGATCTGTCCCAGAGTAAAGCAGTCTGCAATTTTTACGTTTTATAATTGAGAAAATCATGCTTTTTTGCAGACCTTTATTATGATTGTATGTTGTAAAAGCAATAGCTGTCCTGGTAACAAAACCAGAGGAGCAGCACACTGTTACCTCTTCTATCTGTCCAGCGATACGGTGTGTGGATCTATGCATGTTTCTTGTACTGATTCATCCTTTACTTGAAAAGCAGTAATGGTTCAATTTGATCAGCGAATTAGAGCCATTTATGTATGGGTTTGACAATTTATAATTGTGATTTTCAGACACTGAGTATTTGTCTACAAAGTTTGGACATATGCAAGTTCCTCAAAGAAATAAAGGTCAGTAAGAGGGAAACAGGATGAGGTAGAACTGCAAGAGCTGAAAAAAAAAAAAAGGGAGAGATGATCCCCGTATTAAATTTGCATTTCTTCTGCTGAATCAGCTAGATAAATATTTTATGATTTTCTTTGCATTGCATTAGCCGAGGAAACAAGTAAAAACAAATTTGTTTAAATGCATAACATCTTTTTCAAGGATACTATTACCTTTTTAAGTTTTGTAATCACTTGTTGACATTATAGTGTTGCACAGATTCTGAGACCGGTAATGGACGGCGCCCCGGTCCAGCACTGAAATGGTGGTATCGGTATCGGCAAGTATCAACAAATATGGCACCAATAATTTCTCGGCCAATACTGCACGGCCAGGTATCGGTATTGGGGCCAAAAAATGGCATCTGCACCACACTAATTATAGGTGTTCTTCATATAAAGATAGAGAATAGATGAAAAGAAGCTATATAAAATAGATCCTGCTCAAAGAGTAAAGGGCAGGCAAATGAGACCCAGTTAGCAATGACCAAATAACCACTCAACTATTCTATCCGAAACCTATAAAATCTTCAAGTTTGCTACCATGGCACGATGAAGAAGATGGTTTTCTATTTGGTGAACATTTTATTTTTTGACTATTAGCCTTTATGCTCATTTTTAAATGGCAGTCTTCTGGTGGTTTGTTTGTTTTATTTTAATTTTGGAGTAAATATAACTATAAACATCAATGTATCCATGTTCGAGGGCTTTAAATATTTTAACATGATACTGCATCTTAAAAAAGGCAGGACAGCTTCCAGCCCAACTTAGAAACACTTTAGACCTAAAAAATTAAGTGGAAGAGGAAAAAAAAAATGACAGAAAAAAACTTAAGGACAGGAACAGGTTTCCTGGGTCATTAAAAATTAAGAAAATAGAATTCTTTGTGAAAATAACTAAAATCAAAGCAGCATATTTATTCCAGCACCATAAATAATCCCCAAGTCACTCAGATACGTATTAAACAAGTTATTCTTCCCTTCAACAGGTTAGTCAGCGTGCTGATTAATGAACTGAAGGAGGTGTATACCGGATAAAAATCCTGAGGATTAAATGACCACACACTGCATGACTGATTAAACAGGAGTAAACAAAAAGAGAGTTGATGCCACCTAATAAATTAAACATGATGTGAAAGCTGACAGAAAATTGAGCAGGGAGGAGAATTGCAGTAAGGTCACCGCTTGTCCTGAATCTCTACACCAAATCCAATCCATCATGACTGAGACTCGCTGACAATGCAGAGGGAAGCAACGTCATCATGAACAGGGGCACGTCAGTGCACCCACATAAGCTTTGAGAACAAGTATCAGCACAAACAGCTTCCTCTCCTCACCAGGTTTGCAGCTGACACAACAGCCTCTGACATGGCTGTTTGGCAGGTTAGAAAGAGCATTGATCAGTGACAGTCTACGGGCTGCATTACGGCGACTTTATTCAGGAAGTACAAAACAAAACAAGTTTTACTGACCTTTATTCAGTCAAAGCAAGGTGCACCAAAGTTTGGATCAAACAAAAAAGTCCCCTATGTTCCCTCCAAAGAAACGTAACCCAAGAGCATGATGGTATCACTACTCTTTAACAGGGTGGCTATAGTATCATTTTCTGCTGTGTTATGGTGTTTAATGTGGTGTTTTTGTGTTGAATGTATATTTTAAAACTATGGCAGAAGACAAATTTGGCTTCTTTGACTATATGTTTTAAATGTTGTCTTGGAAGAAGTTCGAAATTCAAGTTTTCTATGGGAGAAAATACTTCAGCCTTGCCACTTATGCCCCTATAAGAATACAGAAGAGTAAACATTTGAGACTTATACAGCTAAATCAGTGATGCTGTTGGGCCGCTTATCACATAGGGGTGTAAATCACACCCATCCTGGCAATTGGATTCAGTATCAATTTCCTGACCCAACGATTCGATTGTTTTCGATACTCAAGAATACAACAAAATACGATTTGATTAATTGGTTATTTTTTATTTTACCTTACAGGCTAGAAAATGTTTCAAATTTGAAATAAATCAAAGAAAGCTGTAATATCCTTATGTATTTTATTTGAGAAACAACAAGCAAATAACAGAAGTAGCAAAGTTGTACTCCACCTAAGCCTATGAAAAACCCCTTCATTGAGAAATAATAATGCCTCTGTGTTTACGCGAGTGTGTGTGCAAGCAGAAAGAGGGTAGTGGCTAAAGGATGCGAGGTAGGAGGGCAAAAAAGGTTAAGTGCCCCCGCAGCACTGGAATTAAAATAACGTAAAGAAGCAAATGGATAAAAATAGACCAGATGAGAAAAAAAAAAACATGAATCCATACTCTTGTGGACGTGTTGATGCATCGGATCATCGGCTGTTGGATTGATGCAAAACTATTTTTATTTCCACCTCTATTATCACACTCACCTGACTAGTTTTGGTCTTGATTTTCAATTAGTTTTCAAAGACTGTCCAGCTTTAGGAATGTGCTTGTAGATAGAATCTCAAAGTTACTGCTCTATTACATGCTGCATAATTGATGGTATTAATGTTTTTTTCTTCTGCTGACCATTACCTTTATAAAAAGTGTATAAAGCTAATTTTTTCCAACTTCTGAACAAATTTGCTCTCAGTGGGTACAGTATGTATACATGTAGCTAAATGTTTTAAATACATTGAACTGAGGCACTTTGAATTTCACTGTTAAGGTTTGTGTACTGACATCCAAGACTGTTCGACACTATAATGAGGCTATGTTGATCCTTTATAACCTCTCTAAACGATTGCTCAGTTAGAGGATGCAAAAAGCTTCAAAATCAAAACATCAAAAATCCAACCAGGGCAGCTTGCCTAATTTTGTTTGTTTTAATTGTATTAGCTACAACCACATCTTTCCTCTTACCTTTTTTGCCACTTCTCTAATTAAGCCCACACCTATTTATTTTGATCTTTCCTCCATGTTGGTAGGCGACATCGGGAGGGCCAATTAAAGTGTTTGTACCCGCCTAAATTTCAGAATGGCTGGCAATCTATGCTGAAATATGCTGACGAGAACCCTGTGTATATTATTTCAAATGTATAGGATATAGGTGAAGTGATTGATTACAACGCTTTTAAACGTTTTTTGTAAAATTAAAGTCTAATGTCTTTACAATTACTATAAGGGTTGCATCTCAACAGCAAAGCATATTTTTAAAGCCACCAAGTTAAGTAATTTTGAGAAATTGCAAATTTCTACTTGAATTTTGCATTAAAATCTTGACCTGCAGGCATCCTTTGGTCTTCAAGATGCTGATTTTTCATGCATGTTCTCTAATGAAGCTTTGGGGCCTTCAGACAGCCGGATATATAATAAAATTAATGAGCAAACACGTGAGATTAATACGTCAGTAAAATGACGTTTGACAACAAAAACAGATTTATTTTTGGAAATCATAGAAAAGGAGGGCAGAATAGAAATGTGCACCGTACTCAATCTTTTTAACCTGAAATACTTCATAGCTCCCAAAATGACACATACTTTTAAGCATCTGTTACAGTATGGTGATTTAATGTGTTGATCTATCACTGATTTCAATTTTAAAAAATCCTGATCAGACACAAAATAAAGTTTAAGAGGTGTAAAAACTTGGATTATTTGCAGATAGACCATTTAAAATTATGCATATAGACGGTTAGAGAATTCTGGGAAGGTAAGGTTGCAAAAAATAATCAAAATGTTTTGTCTTAAAATACCAAATGTGTGAAGAATTGGGAGGATTTTAACTCACGGTTCCAAAGTCTGCATTTGAGAAATAGCTGATCTCAGAGCAGAATAATGCTCACAATTTTTATTTTATTTTATTTTTTTTAACATCCGTCAAACTAAAATCAGTGAAGGTATCCGAGTCTCTTCGTAGCCGTTTCCTTCAGCAGTCGGTAATTAGCAGCACATGCAGAGCAGCGAATAGACTTAACACTTAGTTGTGCAAGACTTACTGTGAAAATCGGGTTTCCCGTCTGCACTCTCAGCTCAGCCAGAACCCAGATTCCGTTGCTGAGCTTTACAGACTGATACAGCATGTCCTGGCCGTCCACTGTACGCTTAGCTATGGTGAAGATGTTGCTACCCTGAAGTTTGCTGGAGGCTGCATCTGTTAATATAAAAAAATGCAACAAGGGTTATCATTCTTATTCCTAACAATGACGCCCCAGATTTTATTTTAGCTGTGATATTTAATATTGAGCCCCTCAATGGCTTCTGTCATGCTCTGAGGCGGTCTGTCATTAAATGCACTAGACCCTGCAGAATCTCGTTCCTTTATCCTCCCCTAAAATTTTCTCTCCATGCATCCTGTACAGATTTTAATTCAGAATTGACTCCTCTTTGCAGCCTCAATCTCTCTGATGTGCCCCAGCAGGATGTGAAATCTCTCTTTGTTCAAGGAAAAGGAAATTCATTCTCTCAGGGTAACTCTCCATTAAGCCATCATTACAAATTCTCCTCCAGTCCTGCAACGCTCACACTCGTGTAAAACCAAATTATGACACATAAATAAGGAGTGCAACTCTCATCAAATACAATTTGCTTCATTAGCGAGGATTAGATTTGCGATAGAAATGTCTCTGTCTGGTTGCTTTTGTATATAAAGAGGCTGCAGATAATGGGTTTTTCCTCTTCATTAATTGCCCTTCTTACCCGAGCTGAGATGGCAATCTTTAATCTGAAACTGGGCCTCGTTGTCATTAGGAATGTCTTTCCATGTGGCGAGGAAAACTTGTCTCTCTGTTGGTAAGAATAAGGATAAGCAATCATTTGGGTGAGCAAAAGCAAAAAAACAACAACAAAAAAAACATGCTGACATCCTACAATATATGGGTCAAAACCAGCAACATTTGTGTTACTATCGTTGTTCCAATCAGTGCTGCAGAGATGGAAATAAAACAAACCAAAAAAACGTGAGAGCAGTTAATTTCAACTGTCCAGACAAGGTGTCCTGCTGTGGCTTTGGCTGTGGAGCATTAGCTCTCGGCCTCTGGCAGCAGTCCTGCTGCTAGCCCCATCAGAAGGCTCCACAGGGACAAATGCTGACATATTTCCACCAAATAAATCAAATGACAACACAAGAACAAAGGGGTGGAAAACAGATCTGAAAGGTCCTGCTGCTTTGCCACGAGATGTGACTGGCTTTCAGCTGATGGACAGTAAACAAACATTCATGGCAAACATTCAGTAGCAGCCATATATGCTTCAGTGTTACCCTTATTTTGTGCCGAATGGCATCATCGGGGCTTCAAAGCATCAGTGTGAAGCGATTCAGCAAAGAAACACTCACCCATCTTCCCATCCTCAACAAACAGCATGCTGATGGGGTACTGGCAGCTGAAGTAAAACACGTCAATGTTGTTCTTAACAGCCACCTGCAGGGAAAAAACCCCAAAACATTAGGATTAAAGGGGAAACAAGAAGCCATCTCAGAATAATTAATTTTCTCTTACTATGCTCAGATAAATGCTTATTTTACAGCAGAATACCATAGAATTATGCAACTTACCCTATTGGGGATTAATAAAGTATATTTTTTTCTTTTTATTTAAGTTTTAATTTACCTGTAAAATACAAATCTAAAATATATTATATCAGCTAAATAGAATCACATATGAGTGGGGAAAGTAAAAAAAATCATTAACGCCGTTTTGTTCATTCCCCCTCTCTCCTTGATTTCTGAACACAATTGCTTAAAAAAAGTCAGTGCCAGAGTGAGATGATTTCAGGGTTTTATGTCCAGGTTCTAGAGCTGATGCATTTAGTAATAACCAGCCCTTACAAACAAATCAGCAATTGATTGTTTTTGCACTTTTCCATTCATTTATAATGACAGGCCTGATTGTAAAAACAGAAATAAAGCAAAAAAAAACATAAATAAATCCAGTGATGTGTTGACTGGTCATTTGTCGACCAAGTTCTTAGTTTTAGTCATTAAATAAGCACAAAAGAGCCAGTATAAATATAAGGTGTGATTGCTGACTTCACTTTCAGTTGTAATGAGCGTACAGCATGAAGTTTTATGCTTTCATCATTCACATTATTGATATCAGTAATAACATGATCAATATCTGTTCCTCTCCCTTCACATACATGACATTTAAAGATGTCCCATTAATAATCCATTGCGTTAGACGCTGACCCAACCTTTGCAGAAACCATTTCCTTACAAGTGTTTTGTATTCGTTTATGATCTTGTATTTGTGATCTGAAGACTTTCCCATCACTCACTGAAATTCTTGTATGAAAAAAATGATCTACTCCTGTCAATAAATATAAGTACATCAATAAAAAGCCTTATTTTGGACACATGAGCTACAGCTTTACGCTCCAGGTTCATCTCTCCATAAAGGGTCAAATAGGTGCATTAAATCCTCTAGTGTTTTATCTGGATGCTCAGGCAGTGGGTGGAAAGCTCCTTAAGAAACACCTTTTGTACCAAAAGTTCACCGACTGTTTAGCATTAAAAACTGCTGAATGATTCCTGCCTCAGTTGGTTCTTTAAAATTTTTATTTCTTATCCATCCATTTTTAGATGCACAATAAATAAAATGAAAATAGATTTATCAATTATCTCATGAATCATAATCACATGGGGATGTTTATTACCAGTCTACTTCTTCTGCATTGAACTTTTAGCAGGCTCTTTGGAATATTAAATTGATAATCTAAAATTATCAAATCTATTAACAGCATTTTAAGAGCAGGAAGTGATTAAAAATGGAGATACAGCAAAAGGAGAAAAGAAGCACAGAGGCTTATAAAAACAGAAGAATAGATGAAAACATTTGCAAAGAGTCAAAAGATTTCACCAGACAAACCATGCATTCAATAAAGAAGGGTTGGGTTTGCCTAAGCTACATCGACAGCCTCAAACAAGAGACTGAAAGATGAAAAAAGACAGAATAAAGGAAGCATCTGCAGAAACATGTACCAGGCAATGACACTGCCATTAGTCAGCTTTATAAAGAGGGGCAGCAAGAGGATGGGCTCATGAATAACTCAATACGACATCTTACTCCTCAGTGAAATGCAGGAATATAAACAAAAAAAATAAGACTTACTCTAAATGTTCTTGAGATGACGCTCTATTAGAAAAGGTAAATTTGGTGTAATAACTTTGACGGCCAAGACTATTCAAAGTCTCCTTGACATGCATAACATCCTGCAGTTTATACAGCTTCATTTCTATGCTAAAAGGCTGCTACTACAGGTGGCATGAAGATTGAAAATACAATTTATAGTGAATACAAAATAGCATCTGGTTGTATGACTTTCATTTTAAATTAAAATGAAAAATCTTCAAATAGCAGTGAAAGGAAACAGGCCCATCAGTGCCAAACGTAAAAATAAATTTATGATGGTGGAGGTTTTTAAATGAACTGTACATTTAAGAATACCACAGTAAATATAGTAAAAGCATGTGTGGCATAGGGCTCTTGTCAGTGCATTTCAGCCTAATGGTCCCTTACGTTGAGATTTAACAGCTGTTTGGAGTAAACAAAAGTGTAACTGCTCATGAAATATTCATAGTGAAGGATTTTCAAAATAAAGTAGGCATCAAAAAAAAAAAAGAAAAAACAGTACGTCAGATAAACACTGTTGTCGAAGCAGAAAAAAAGAAATATTAGAAAAGCTGTTGCCTGATCAGGAGGCAGAAAAAAAAGGAGGCATGTGAGACCATTAATGACCATCCCCACCTTTATCATCCCCTTTGACAGTCTTATCTACCCTTCCCAGCTGTAAGCAGCAATAGTCCACCCAGCTAAAAAGAACAGCAGAGATCAAAACCAAACCGCTGCTATTTTTTTTAAGGTAAAACCTTTCAGAGCCGCTTTAGCCGATTCTTAAAGTTTGAACTCTGCTTTATTCTCAGAGTTGGACTTTAACAGCATGGTTAAATAACAGTAGGGATGCATTGGTCATTTTAAGGACAGTATCTTAATAGTTATATTCAGGACAGTGAGACAGAACAGAAGGAAATGGTTTAGCATTGGAGAGCTGCTTTGCTCCAATACTATGAAGTTATTTTGTTCCATTATTGCTTCAAGAAAACAACATCTTTTTAAAATAAATAATAAAAAGAAATGTAACGCAGAAATTTAAACGGAAAATCTGTCAATGGTTAAAATGTCTTTTTTTTTCCTCCAGAGTAACTGCTGTTTTCCTAACATTTTTTCAAATGAATATATTTTCTGAAATTTTGCTCAATATCTCCTTTTTCCAGTTTACATTCTCTTCACTTCTTGAGGTGGAGTTTCCTCTGGAGTGAGAAGCAAAGATGCATTTTTATTTTAACAGTTTTATTGTTCAACTGCAAGTGTTTGTATTTGGCTTGAAATGAAGAGAAAGTGATCTAAGAAATGCTAATTGAAATGAATGCAGTTCATAAAACTCAATCTGAAAAACAGAAATAAAAAAAATGTATTAATGTAAAATCTGTAAAAAATAAAATAAAAACAAAATAAGTTTGAAAAAAATCCAAATTAAAAAAGTGAACAAATTGGAAAAAATAAAATCTAATAAATAAAAAGAAACAGCAGAAAGTTTATTTAAAAACCTTTTGATTATGATTTTTTTTTTTTTTTATTTCCTGTTTGGATTGTAATTTTTTCAAACCTTCATTTACAAAAACGTGTTTTGTTTTTTTGTGTCTCTTTAAATCTCGATTTACTAAGTATTTTCTTTGCTTGAAGCAAAGTGGTACAAAGTTTACTCTAAATGATACTCTTTCATGCTGATTTACCCCATTGCTTTTAGATAAAACCCAAAAGTGTTCAGTCATGAGTCTGAAGAGATGGATGGAGAAGCATTCAGCTTGGCTTAGACAACTTTCATCGTCATTTTGTAAACACAAAGATTTTACCCGACTTAAAACCAACCATGATGGCTTAAATTTAGAGATAATGATTATAGTGTAGGCTTTACCTGCAGATTGTTGAGGGGATCCATCTTCATTACAGGGCCGACGGTACTGAGAGGAAGGCTCACTTCAATGCTCTGATTGGGGCTTAGGGGGGTCAGGACCTGGAGAGGACCAGCTGGAGCAAGACCAAAACTACAGTGGAACAAAGACGTAAAAATTATCCAGAAATCAACTCATAATAGAAATATAAACAAGTAACAGATCTCAACCTCACCTGTTCCTGTTAAACTGGATGGCAAAATCAGTCATGACACTCATCGCTTTATTGGTGAGAGTCATCTCCATTTGGATGACGCCACCACGGCGAGCAAAGGTGCCAGATATTTCGAGCCCCTTGCCTTTCATAGCTGGCAGCCAAACCTGGGAACAAATGGAGAATTTATTCAGGATCCATGATAATGAAACTATCCAAGTTTAATCCTAGAGTCACCTACTGTTTTAGGTGGGCTGTAGGCTCCCATGGGCATACCGACTCCACCTCCAAGATCAAACAGGTCATCCAGTCCCCCGCTTACAGGGGCACTGAATGGGGCTGCAGTAGCAGCTGGAGGGGCACCAAAACCGGCTCCCATCTGTGGGTCACAAAACATGTGGCGCTTTCAGCATATCTCTGTATCAGAATATTAAAGCCCAACAGGTCTCCCATAAAAAAAGGACTTACAGCAGAGCCTCCTCCAAGGTCTCCTCCAAGCTGAGCATGAGAAGGAAGCACAAAAAGAAATATTAGACACAATTAATAAATTAAACACTAAATAATACCCTAAAAAGGTTTTAGGAGGGTGGGTGCAGGGAGCTCTAAAACTTCTGTGTGGTTAATGGCAGCTACAGGGTTTAAACTTGCAAACAATCTTTATTTATTGTGAATTTGTGTATAGGCACAACCAGTCAGATTGGTTGTGAAGTGGAAAAATATAAATAGATGTCTTTCAACAATTTTACCATAAAGTTGTAAAGACAACAAGTATTCAATCTTAGTCTTATATGCCTTAAAAAAAAATCTAGGAGTGATTGAGAAGCTTCAAGAACATGTTGAGAATCTGCAGCAAAACTTGAAATTCTCCACTATGCAGTTTAAAGTTATTACTGCAGCAAAACGGTGAATTTAAAAAAACATTGGCTCAGGGGTGTTAATACAAAAGCACTGCACTGTTTAGAGGATAACAATAAAAAAAGGGAACATGTACAGAATTCACTCCATTTACATTAATCTTAACTGTGTATATGTATCATATCAATTCACAGGAAAATGTTTTCAAGGTTGTGGTTTTCATTTAACAAAAAATGTTAAAATGTTCAAGGGAACAAATAATTGTTAAAGGTGTAGTATTAAAGAAAATATGCATAGACAAAAACTCCTTGTAAATTTTGCTGTTTATTGTAATAAAATAATAGAATTCATGTTTAATTCAAATACGTCAATGTTCAGGTGTAAAGGGAGGTGACAAAATGAAAAAAATCTTCAGTGTGTCTCAATCAGTGAGGGAGCAGGGATAACCTAGAAAGGTGATTTATTAAAACCCCTTCATCTAGTGGGATGACAAACAGTGTGACAACAAGTGCTAACGCAGTGATTATTGCTGGGGGTGCTACTAAAAGGAAATGGTGGCAGAGGATGGGACTATTTGGGACGCAGCTGGTTGTTACTGGTCTCCTGGACCAACCTCAGTAGGGCTGTAATCTGTGGGCGATGGGGAATGGTGCGGGATCTGAGGTGACTGAGGAGTGTCCGTCCGCAGGGGAATGGGCGGCTGAATAAAAGATGAAACACATTGCAGAGCACCCCCCCAAAAAAAAGACAGGAAAAGAAATGGACTGAAGGATTTATTATCAAACTTTATTCATGAGATTTAACATCTCATGTTGTGTTGTCTAAGTCAAAGCAACATGAGATGATGAATGCATGAAAAATGTCAAGACAGATCATCAGAAACTACTTCAGCAAGGGTTAAAGAGCCCATATAATGCTTTTAATTGTCTTTCTTGCACCATATTGTCTGCTGTGAATATAAAAAAAAATATATAAGATTAAAAAGTTAAGATAAAAAGGGAATTAATTAAAATTTCGCTCGGTAGAAACATTGCTAAAAAGGTGACCTTCCTCATCAGAATATGAAACGGCTGTGAGAAATTTCTTTGCAATATTAACTGACTTTTGAAGCTGAGAGTGACAAATAATATTAATTACAACCCCACTGCCAGTAATACACTGCACACTTCAATAAATGCAATCTAAATTAAACTTAACCCTGGCTGGAGATTATATGTCGACTTTAGGGAAATCAACTTAAAAGGTTGCAAGCCACGTGTTGAGGTCCAATGCAGGCAATAAAAAAAAAAAATCCACGTGGTTTATTTCTGATGAGTAAAGTTTGGAAGGATTTTCAAAGTTTACAGTTTGTTTGTTTTTTCTTCTCACAGCAACTAATTGTCTTAATCTCTATGAACAACTTTGGCATCACTGGGAATGCAAAAAAACCCATCTTGAAGAAAGGTTTTTGTTTGCTTTCAAACCAAGGGATGTCCCAATACAAGTTTTTCGTTTCCGATACGATACAGATATTACAGCTTTAAGAATTAGCCAAGATCTATATCAGTGAAAATCATACAGACTTTGATTACTTATTTTGTACTGTAGAATGTTAGAAAAGGCTTGATCAGGTGCTGTTAATAAAACAGGGAAGAAAAGTCAACAACAAAATGTATAAGAACAACTGGCCCATATAATATTAACAAACGAGTTACAAAAACTTTTAACTGAAGCGCTTTTCTGTCAGCATCAAAATATCTGAGATTTTAGTTGTCGGCAGATATAATACAATATTATCTTTATGGCCAATATCAGACCAATATCTGATGTTAATATCTGATCAGGACACCCCTATTAAAATCTGTAGAGTGCTTTCTTGCACAAATGAGCAAGAAAAGTTGAGCAAAAAAAGAAATATGCAAAAAAAATAAACTGAGAAAATAATTAACGATATTTCAAGCAATCAAGGAATGCACACAGCTAAATTAACAAAAGTCTTTGGCACTTGGGCTGGCTGACTAGAAGACTTTTTGCTACACAAAAGCTACACTTGAAAGTCAAAGAGTGCTACAGCTATGTCTCTCTCTGAACACTTTAAGCCCCCTAAAGGTATTCCAACAATAAGCACGGTATGGGCTCTTTAGGATTTTTTTTTTTTTTTCAATAATAACGGCTGTGTGTGACTGATAAACATTGTGCCCTCTCTATGTAGTTACCGGCTCAGACTCATCCCCCATCTGCAGTTGCAGCATTGAACAAAGAAAGAAGAAAAAACAGATCAAGAAAAAGGAAAAAGCAAGAAAAAAAAGTTGAAAACAGAAAATATTCCGTGATTTAGCCCCAGTGATATTTTTCTAGTAAATGAAGTGAACCCAGTTTTAGAAGCTGGCGGGTTTAATCCAATAATGGTGAAACATACCAGGCTGTCCAGTCCTCCTCCAAGAAGGTCCATGGCACCCAGCTGCAGGCCAGACGTGGCTGGTGGTGGCGGTCCACTGGTGGCTGGAGGTGTCAGATCAAGATTGAGTAGATCACCCAGGAGGTCTCCCTGAGATGGGATAACAGCAGGGGGGGCATCTGGAACTCCAGCTGCAGATCCTGTGTCTGGGCTCTCAACACTCTCTCCACTAGAAAGAGATAAAGTAGTTCAGCATGACTGAAATAATATCTATTCAATAATTGATATGTACTAATACGTTTACATTTCCCATCAATTCAACAGTGAGAGGGTCCCTGAAGTCGCAAATATGCTTCAACACTTCAGTTATATTGGAACATCCAAGTTCAGGCCTAGAGAGCGACTTTCCTGCTACTTCTAGATGCACGCCTTGTTCAACACACCAATGTTATGTAATTAAACTATGATTAGGCTATTCATTTTATTAAAAAGCATATAAAAGTGACATTCACCTGATTCTATACCACAAAAAAGGACTTAACAAAACTGCTGCTCAGTAGATTATGATAAAAAAAAAAAAAAAAAAAAAAAAGGGGCAAACAAAAACAAACTACATGCTTGTAGGAACATCAGTTCATTCACTGTTAAAGAAAACTAAAAGTCGTCCTGAGTGTGACTCACGATCCAGCACTGCCTGGGAGTCTCTTGTGCTGAACTCCACGGCTGCCCTCTACGAAGGCACTGGGAGGCTTGTGGTAGACGGAAGCCAGAGTGCCAATGTGGCAGATTAGCTCCTCCAGCAGAGTCGGCTCAATCAGATCGGTCTCCTCAGAGATCAGAGGCTTCTCAGCCAGAACCACCTCCTTGGCAGCAACAGGGTCTGTAGAGAGCAGACGCCAATAGATGTAGCCTCTGTCCCTGAGGTCTGGGTTATCAGAATCCTGCAGAAAAACATAAAGGAGTGATGAAGTTTTCATATAGATTATGTTTAATAAATATGAAATTTTAAGACCGTCTACTTCTAATATGGGACTAAAATATGGGATTTAAAAGCATTAATTCTCCTAAGCATAGTGGCCAACAGTAAAAAAAGGGGATTCATCTACACAATTTTCTTTGAATACCTTAACCTTAAGAAATTACGTTTTGTTTTTTTTTGTTTTTTAAATGTTTCCAAATCCATTTATCAGACAAACAAAACTGATTCATGAGATTCTTTTATTTTGTGATGTCAGGACTACACTCATTATAGCTGCATATTTACTATGCAAACTAAGCTGATTTGAAATAGGACTGCAGAATAATATAGCAATTTTGTTTTGATTTTTCTCTGCATTAACCACCAGAATATGGATGTTTCACTCAAAGACATTGTTTTCATGACTTTGGAAGCTTGTTTGTCCAGAGTCAAGTTGTCAGAGGACACTGCTGTCACTGCTGCTTGGCAAAGTGCTAACTTCTTCTTGTATGCATGGATCTCCACATCAGCTGCAATTCCCTTCTATGAGGTGATAAACCCACTTTAATTGCATTACTGCCACATAAAGGGCGGGATAGGGAAAGTTAGTGTCTAACTCTTGTAAAATATAATGTGACCAAATTTTAAATTAATTGCAAAATCCAATGAATTACCCTGCTCCAAATTTGAATTCTCAACAAACAAGCATTTCAAAAAAATTTGCCATCAAATATTAAAATGTATCTTTTATTTAACATTTTAAACTAAATAAATACATTGAAATTATAAAGAGTAAATTCTTTATTTTAATATCCAATTAAACAGAAAAAATCTCTTTACTGAAAACAAGGGTCTTCTGGAGTTAGTTGTAGAGAAAAGGCCAAAATCACCACTCTAGATTAATCCTATATCAGAGAAGCTAAATTAAATCTAATCAGGTAAATGTTTAGCTCAGTTAGCTCAGTCATGTTGAGCAGCCTACATGGAATATCGATGTGCACCAAATGCTGACGTGAAAAATCCTTTACTATATCTCAAATTAAGCTAATGTTTTGGTCAAAATTTAAACTGTGATGATTTAAAAGTACATGTTGTTATACATTTGTTAATTGAGGGAAAAAACACCCAAATGTTTGGGAAACTCTGGACTAAACAAATACACATTCTTAAAGCACCAAAAAGTCATTTAGATTGAGAATAGTCATTTTGATGCTAATTAGCAACTGAACCAACTCAGATGTGAAGGAAGATAGCAAGGAAAATTAGCAACCATTTGTAATATGCATTTTAATTTATAGGTGTATTAAGGATGATAATTAATTAAATGCATCTGTCAGACCCTCAGGTGATGATCAAAGTTTGTAACAAAAAATGGAAGCACAAAACATCTGTTTGCAGCACACTTAAAAAAAATAAAAAATCGTCAGAGCATCTGTTATCTCTCTTCCTTGCCCGTCATTAATCAAGACGAACAGAGGAAGACATACGCCCGTCTGTTCACACCCTTGTTGATGCTCACTTCTGGTCACCAAGTTTAAGGACGACCAGAAGTAAAACAAAGACACATTTTTAGGAGTTTGGAAATATTTGCTTTCACAAGTCAAAAGACAGTTAAAATAGGAGGAGCAAAACCTATAACACTTATTGAAGGAAACACAGTTTCAAAGCTAAATAGGTTGATAGGGTACAGGCAGCCTGCAGCAAACTTAACCCAAAATACAGCAAAATAAATTAGCTGATCTGTTTAATATAGTTATACAGTTATACTCTAAAGAGAGCACAAATAGCATTTTTTTTAAACTTATAAAAATGAGCAGGTGGTTATAGTGTATCAACAAATGTTAGATCACTATGGTGTTCATTTGTTCTACATAAAAGAAATCCAATCAAATTTCTATTAAAACCTATTATATACCCATGTAGCAACAGAAAGACAAAAAAAAAAGACAAAATTGAAACATAAGAAGCATTATTATTTTTGCTCTAACCTGTGTGGCCAGGCTGAGAACCTGCTGCACCAACTCCTGGGTCTCTGTGGGTTTCTTTAGGAACAACTTGACAATTGCAGTCAGTAGCTGCAGCTGCACCTAAAAGATCATAGTAAACACATGCAGGAAGTTATAGCTAGTTATTAGACATTTGAAAAAGGATGCCTTAAATCTGTAATGCAACAGTAAAAAAAAGAATCTTCATAAGTGTTGGCCTAGTGGGTTAGAGCAGCCGGTTCGATCCCCACAGCCTGCACTCTGGGTTCCTGAACAAAACTTTAACTTCTGTGCCACTAAATGGTAGCCCACTGCTCCCCAAGGGCGCATGTTAAATGCAGAGAACAAATTTCCCCATTGTGGGACAATAAAGGGATTTACTTAATGGATTAAAAAATAAACCAAACGCTTCAACTGAATCATCACATACAAGGGCAAAATAAGCCAATTTAAATCTGTACGTTCTTAAATATTTTTACATAAATGTAATTTAAAAAAGGAAAGGTTTTCTGAATTTCATAAAATTCATTTTCTCCTTTTAAAAATCCTGTGAGCAGAAAATACTTTCAAGGCAATAGTGTGGAAATCCTACTTATGCTCTATACCTCCCACTATGAGCTGAATCTTTCATGAATAGAAAAAACTACACATTGCTCTGAATCCCACTGTGAACCAATGTGTATAAAAAAAAAAAAAAAAAAGGCTGGTGAATAAAATTAAAAAAGTTTTTTTTTTTTAAAAAAACCCCGAAAAAAAAAAAAAAAAAAAAAAAAAAAAAAAAAAAAAAAAAAAAAAAAAAAGACACACACACCTGAGTGCTTTCATCATGGAAACCTTCCAGAAAGCTTTCGAGAAGCTCATCAGCATTGTCAATGCGCTCAGCGTACTCTCCCACAATCCAGATCATGGCGGCGCGTGCCTCTGGCTCATCCAAGGAATCAAGATTCTCACACAGAGTGGCAATCACGCTCTCATACCTTTAAAGAGTTAAATTCAATAACATGTTTAATAAAATGAGATAAAACGACAATATGAATGTTACCGACACACTTTATAGCTAACCCATAACATTCTTGCTGACATTAAAAAGGTATAAAACATGCAAAGGTTATAAGGTGATGTAAGAGCACACCACAGCAAGTTTGGGTATTAAAACGAACGACTCATTGCACTACAAACTCATCAAGCTGTATTTTAGAGTGCTGTTTTCTGGCAGCTTTACAAATGTAGATGTTTTTTGCATACATTTTGGCCACGAGTTCTGGGCTTTTATTCAAGATGCAACCATATTTCTCTCTGAAGTGCTTCAGGTTCTTCTGATCTGCATAAGATTCACAGCAATTAATATCTCCATTTACATAATGGTTCCATTACAAGCTATGCTAAGGCACAAATGTTTAATTAATGAGAAAGAGCAAACTTTGACTGGCTGGTGACTCATTTAGCTCAAAGCATGAACCATGCCGAGCTGGTAGGCTCTGCGAAGCTGCTCCCTTCAAGGCTCACTACTCCGGGGTGATTGTGTTCTGCTGCGTGGGCGAGCTTCCTGTCTGGCACAAGAACACACTCCGCAGCAGAAGCCATGCTGCAGCCAAATTATCCTGACCTTTGACCATGTGGAATCATAGCGAGCCGTCAAAAATATCTAAGAAGGCCCTTAAATCCTGGCATAAAAAGTCTAATTCTAACATTTAGACATTAAATTTTCCATCCTATAAATCTTTCAGGAAACAAGTATAAAATTCTTTTTCTTCACATTTAATCACAGATAATTTATTTTAAACATTTTTACAGGTTAGTTTCCATAAGAATGGATAGAAAGATACAAAAATAATATTTCTGACTTGATATTTCTGATACTAATATCTAAAAACAGTCCCGGTATTAAACTAAAAGAAAATCTATATTCTAGATCAGTCATTTGAAAATGGGGGAAGTTCTATTCTCTCCATTTGGATAATAATAACCGAATGAATAGCTTTGTTTCAGACAAATCAGAAAATAATCATAATTTGTTAGGTTAAACTTATCTTCAACAGAAGATATATTTACTCTCATTTGTTATTGATTTAATGAATCCAGCCATTTTGTACCATTAATGTGTCATATTTGTTTTCAGGAAAGAATTTGTTCTGGAGGGGAATTGTGTTGCCCGGACAACAGAGGCAAAGGTAGGCAGCATTTTGGAGCTCAGACCGAGCAGGAAGAGATCAGCGGAAGAACCAGAGCACAGAGAGGCGCAGAACAGATGCAGCTCTGGAGCTACTAGAGGATGAATGATAAACAGTCCTTTAAAGGGCTAAACTAAAACAGTTTTCATGAAGCCACCCACAAACCTCTTAAAAGCATTCTTTACTTCATCCTATGTCAACATATCCCCCCCTCTTCTCTTTTGATTGAAATAAGTGTATGTATTGTTACATTGCTAGAAGTGCATCTGTTGCATTGCTGCGTTCTGAACACGCCTCTACACTGTGATAACTTGTCAATCGTGTGCTCCAGTCGCTAAAGCTGGATTTAGAAATGCTGAAAGTTTTTTTTTTCTTTTTTTGTGCAAATCTCAGATTTTAGGTAACAGTCTACAAAATGTCCAAACAAAACAAAGGCTATTTACAATTTATTATGCCAACTGCTCAAACAGCATAAAAATATACAAGTAAAACTCCATCCAGCTCTCCATCTCACACACAAAGCACAGACATTGTCTGATAAGTGAAATAAAGCACTGATGTGCAGTAAGAAACGTACTTGTTGGGGTACTTGCGGAAGATGTCCTTGATGACAACTATGGCCTCCTGAACCACATAATTGACCTTGGTCTGTATGAGATCCAGCAGTGTGCTGACACAGCGCTCTGCTGATTGCTGATAAATGGAAGGAGAAACAATAAGAGCCATTTAGGAAAACATGTAGAACAAGATGTTTTTATATGTTTAAACGCCACTTTACATGAAGCACAAAGTAAAATAATCTACAAAACAGAAAGGATTATATTTCATTTAGGACTATGCTGAAATAAAGTCCTTTAGATCCAAGCTTCCTAAGTAAACCGTAATAAAACAAGCATTTTTCTTCCTGGTATAACAAAACCTATGATCCAGTTGCATTTATTTCCATCAACAGACCCGGCTTGTGTATAAAACCATACTTTATGAGAGGTCGAACAACATTTGCATTATTTTGAATGAGGGATTAGCTCTAAGTGCAACGATATAATAAATTTGAAAAACATAACAGGTACTTTGATTTCCACTAACCTCCACTTTGATGGCACAGCGGCCGATGGCCCTGACTGCTTTACGCACAAAGTCCACATCTACCTCAGTGGCATACTCCTTCAGCTCCGCCAGCACCTACAATGAAAAACAGCAAAGCTCTTTTTCATGTGAGATTAAAAGATCAAATGCACATCTATAAATCAGACAAATATCATAATGTAATTTCAGTAATTCTGTTTAAAAGCTGAAACTTTCACAATATGTTGACCATTTAAACACAAATGCATTTTTTAAAAGTATTCATTTTATGGTTAAATAATTTGTAAAAAAAAAAAAAAAATCCAATATCAGAAAATTTGAAATTAACAATAATAACCCTATTTGTTGCTTATGCCAACTGAAAATCCAGCAGCTGTGGCTCATGACCTGGATACGTCTGTGTGCCGACCTGAAGCCCTGACCTCTTACCTGAGCAATGTTGGCCTGAGATGCAAGGCGAATCATTATGTCCAATTTCTCCAATTTGACATAGATTGGGTCATTGTACTTGACAAAGAAAACCTTCATTTCATGTTTCAGGATTTCTGGTCTAAAAAGACAAAAAGAATTTTTACAACTATATTATGACAAACTAAACTAAATAAATAAATAAATAAAAAAACACATTCATGAAAAATTGTGAAGTGCTATTAAATAGCGTTTCTATTGACATACCTTCTTTGCACAATAAGGTTGATGTTTCTAAGTGCAACATACTGCAGCTCAGGCTCAGCAGACAGCAGCGTGACCAGAGGGGGGGCAAGCTTCTTCAGCAAAGTGCCATAATAGTCGAGGTCTTTTGGGAGCATTTCCATGAACTTCATTAAAACTTTAACTGCTGACAAAACCACCGCTGAGTTGGCATGAGAGAGCCGTGGGGTAACGCGCTCACAGATGCTGGCAGATGTTAAGGGAGAAATTAAATTGAACGGTTAGAAGAGGTTACCCAACTGACAGAGGGGGAAAATGTGTGAGGGGTTGCTGGGGAAAAAAAAAAAGCTTACCTTTGGGACTCACGATCATCCCGTGGTGTGTAATTTGCCAGACAATCTAGAATAAATATCTGTCCCCACTCTGTGCATTCATTAAGAGCCGTCAGCAGCTTGTTTATAGTTTGAGGGTTTAGGTCCAGCAGGTTGCTGTTGGGATGTGACTCTGCAATTTCAGACAGCGCTGCCACCGCATTTGCTACGACCTTAAGAGAAATACAAGGGTTCAGATGAATACCGACCTAAATTGTGATACAAAAAAAAAAAAAAAAAAACAGGGGGGGGGTGGTATCAAAGGGAAGAAAACAGAGGTTCTGACAGGGAAGATTGGGTTGAAGTGATGCATGATATGACGGAAACGTTAACTTTCCCATTAGATTAGAATCCGAAAAATGTTAAAATCATCTGAAAAACTAGATGGATCTTTATAGTGCCACTGAGATTAGACTTGTTTAAAATGTTTACTTCCAGATACATTTTTTTGATAAGAAAGAAAATAATGGACAGAAGATCTCTTCTCTTCAGGAAGTTTTGTGCATTCTGAGAAATGCGATATAGTAAGAATAGTACAGCTGTCTAACTTTTCTTGGTCATTCTGTACAGAAAATTTCATAAATGTAAAGTAAAATCTACATTATCTTTGAAACTGTAAAAAAAAGTAAATGAACAAGTAGCTTTATCAAATGAGTGGTAGCTTTGCATCAGTTTATCAGGAAAAAAAAAAACACACCAAGTCAGATTTTTCCTACCATGGGGTTGGAGTCTGAAATGAGATCTTTTAGCGTGTCCAAAAAGCCTTGGTCCTCCACTAGTTGGGCGTTGATATCATGCAGCTTTGCCACACACACTGCAGCAGTCTTCCTCACATAGGGGTCTTCGTCCTTCAGACATTTTCTCAGCGGCTCACATAGGTACTCAGTGATCTTATCCACACGAATGCAGCCCATGGTTCGAACGGCGAGGGCACGGATGAGTGGGTTGGGGTCTTCACAGTCCTTAATGGGGGATTGACAGGTGTAATGAGTTTCAGGAAAAACAGACATAACTTGCAGGAGCATTCTTCACTCAATCCGAGGGTGTATAATAGTAACTATTGTATAATATAATAGTCTCTACTTTAGAAGACCGGAAAACAGGTTAAATGCTTGATTGAAAACTGGATGGCACACAGAGACGAATTGAAAAAAAAAGACCTTCAAGCTGCTACATTGAGTTTTTCCCAGTAAATGTGTATAAACAGGTTTAAATTACAGACAATATTATCAAGGCAGTAATCATGAGCTGCACTTGAGTAAATTCTCATATAATCATGTTACTAAGAGACAAACTTGTAAAAAACAAACACTTTTTTTTTTTTTTATTACCTGATTCCATGCAACAGCCCTTTGAAAAACACCAATTGAAGGTTAAGACTGTTTTAACAGGCCGAGTATAAACATAGTTTTAAACAGTAATGAAAGGCTGAGCTTTACCTTCACAAAGGTGTTAACAGCCATGATAGCCATGTCTGGTTGACTTTTGGCATAGTTCATTAGATAGAGGTAGACCAGCTTTTTCAGCTCTAGGTTGTCAGTCTGCATGCAGTTCACCACATCTGGAAACAGAGCACTATAGGACAAAAAAAACTGCTATAAATCCAATACAATAGCTCACTTTGTTTCTGACATATTTCCCTTTGCTCACCTGACATCCTTCCCCACAGTCATCGATGCAATGACCTTTTTCACAGCCTCCTTCTTCTTCTCTTTCTTATCACTGTTCAGCTCCGCCTTGAGCTCAAAAATCTCCCCTGCACACACACACAAGGTGAAGAAAAAGGAAGGTCATCTAATTTAGTAAAACATGACAAAGAAAAACTGCACAGAATTTTGCTACAATCCAACTGGATGGTGAGATTGTACCAGTTGAGGGTCCATGCCAATTAAGACATTTGAAGTTGTTAGGGCATTTTAATACTCGGATTTTTAAGAGTTTCTAGATAGAGTTGAAGGCGGTGACATGTACCAATTTTGTTTTAAACACTTTGTCAATGCTCTGACGGCTTACAAAGTCTCTAAAAATAATGTAAACCCAAGGCTGCAAAGGGCCAAATCCCAGCAGTAATGTTCTCCTTTTTCTACAGCTTAACAAAGCAATCATTAAAATTAATCAACAGCTAAAAAAAAGATTTATGAAAGTAGGATTTATTGCAAAACCTTACTAATATACCCCTTTCCCACTGGCCAAAAAACCCATTTAATACCAGGAACAATCTGCTTTTAGTAGCAGTGGGAACAGCTTACTGACTCTTGTCTACCCAGATCAAATGATTCGACAAGCGACCTGCGTTAAAATCGCCTCCGCTCTGATCGGCATGCTGTGGGAACACCAGAGCCGAGTTCACCCGCTAAATGATGTGACACCGTTGAACGCAATATACATACTTCAACACATCGTGAGAGCCACGTTTGATCTAACAAGACGAAAAAACTTTGTTTACGTTCAATAAATATGGCTCAGCACTGGAAAGAAGGATTCGGAAAAATAAAAGAGCGAAAAAATAAAGCACAGTGACTACGCCCTGGCTTCTTTACGCGTTTCTCTCCATTGTTTACTTTCTTTATTTCTGTTGCGCTGGTGACTGCAACGTTAAGCCAGTGTGATGGTGTCACAAGACACGCAGCAGCAGGGAACAGAGGCCAGGCAGCTTTCTAGCGAAGGGTTGGACCCAGCTTTTTTTTGCCAATGGGAAGGGAGCCAAATGCTGACTGTTAGCGGGTCGACCCATGATTGAAAAACACAGGTAAACGTGCCAATTTCAGTGTGAAAGAGGCTTTAGACAGGGATCAGCTGAACCACAAAAATGGGAAGTAAGTTGAGGTTTCTCTTGTTTGTAAAGTTAAGTCAGAGGAATAACAATACGCAAGTGGTAATTTTCAGCAAAACCTCGAGGTCTCCATGGGAATATTTTTGCAACAATAGGAAAGTTGTTTTTACATTAACATGTCAACAAAGGGCACTTATGGGTTTGAATTTAATCCTAGTCAAAGAGTTTCCTGGCTTTTGAAAGCTCCCTTAAGAAAATAGCAAAAGTACTACACAAATGTTTTAATTTAAAAGCAAAACAATACCATTATATATTTCAAGCAATATTGAAGATGAATACAGGATAAAGGAATGGTAGGATAAAGGGAAAGGTTTAAAAGAGTTTGCCACCTGCAACTTTATCATTAGATATACATTTTCTGATTCTCTTTAACTATAAAGAAAAAATACCAGCTTCCATGATGGACACTTTCATTATGATAAAAATCTATCCTATCATTTTTACTGGGACCAATATATATTTTTTTAAACATTGTATTATATCAAACTATTTTGACTAATAATTTAACACTTGGCCACTCAAACAAACCCAAATGCACTTGACTATTTCAATGTGAACATTTAAAACAAAAACTTAGTAAACCAATAATGAACATAAAGGAAGCATTCAGACCTTTCTTGGTGGTGGTGAAATACTTGGAGTCTGTCATTTTGGATCCAAACTGTCGGTTCTCCTACAAGTAATCAGAAGGTGAAAAGAAAATGAAGGGTTTTACCCAAGTGGAGTCTTTTAGTATCACAAAAGCAGCAGGAAACACTGGAAGTGCAAGCAGAAGGGAATAAAAGGATTTCCTGTCTTTCCCTGAACAGATAGAAGCAATGAGTAAGACAAACAAAAGATTTTGCTGAGAAACCAAATTCTGACAATTTTATCTTGGGATAAAACGTCTGGATCAGCACAAACAAGGCCAACAGGGGCTTCCTCAGTCAACGCTGAATGTATTCAGGATGATGTGAGAATGAGCATTTCCACTTCATCAAGCAACTGTCAGGAAGATATAGTTGCCCATATAAATTGCAAGTATATATATATATATATATATATATATATATATATATATATATATAAATTGGATTCATAGAGAAATCACTGGCTTTCTCCCCTCAACCTGTTTGTTTACACATATAATGAAAAGATCTTCCATCACTAGCAGGGGAAAAAAATACAAATATGAATGCAGATGTATTTTGTTTTGTTACTCGTCTACACAACATTTTATCAACGGACAGGCCTGTGCTGCAGTGAGAAAACATGCGATTCTGACATTATTGCATACTATAGAAATGACAACACGATAAACTTTTTCCCAACTGGTTTCTTTTTTAGGTTCATCATTATGTTCCCAACACTTTATCTTCCTGATCACTTTGGGAATGAAAAAAAAAATGACCAGCCATCCAAACAGGGAAATATATATACAGTATAAATTTTCAGCCAGAGTCAGAATGCATAGCACCTGAAATGCAGTCATAGTCAGTTAATCTGAATATGTACTCTAGTATTAAACATGTTTAAGCCACACTTTCTGAGTTGAATTATTTCTAACTGCTCTGATGGGATTTTTCCATGTTAAATGTATTTATATTACCTGCAAGTAGTAAATGTCAAAAAGTATCAAATAAAGGCTTGAAAACAACATGAAAAGTTACATGTAATCAAGCTACATAATCTGTTGCACTTAGTGAATTGAGTAACCTCCATAAATATATTTTATTTATGGCAAACAATTTTTTAAGTCTATCTGTAAAAGGCTGATAACAATATTTAGACATTTTACTTAACTACAGTCATTGTATGTTATGCTTCTTTGAATGATGTGGACAATATAACGAAAAATCACTGTGTTTTAAATGCACTGAAGAAAATACTTTAAACCGTTTTAGTTTTGGTACATTTTCTGTGATGCATGTTCGATAAATGTTATTTCGCACTTACATGCATTTTGTGTGTATTTCTAAAGGTTTTATAGATTCAATTCAATTCAGTTTACTTATATAGCGCCAATTCACAACACATCATCTCTACGTCTTTACAGTTCACCAGATCATCCAGTCAAATTTCAAAGTTTTCTATCCAAGGACAACCAGTTGATTGCATCGACTCTGACTCAAATGCAATCCCTAACACCAAGCATGCTTGTAGCGACAGTGGAGAGGAAAAACTCCCTTTTAACAGGAAGAAACCTCCAGGGGAACCAGACTCAGTGTGAGCAGCCATCGGCTGAGGCCGACTGGGGTTCAAGGAGACAGAAGCAGAGATACAAAAAACAACTGTAAAAGGCGGCCCCTTCTAGGAAGGATGAAGAGAGCACATCCAGCCAGTCACATTCAGAGAAACAGGACTACCCTGGAAAAACAGGCTGATCTCCAACATCTATAAACAAATGTGTTGATGGCAGCAACACAGCTGATATTTCTCTCCAGGGTGGTAAATAGATGTGTTTAGACTCTGATCTAATTTAAATGTGACACTATATTCCTGAATATTTTCCAAGGTTTACTATCCTTTCTAATTTCTATGATTGAGAACAATCGTCATTTTAAATCGGGACAAAACTAGATAGTGTAGGAATAAGGCAACGTTCAATAAATTTATTAAGTGTTTCTGTATAAAATTAAAGCATAATACGACTGTTACGAGAAACTAGCTAAGTAAAGTACAGTTGGATATTGTACATGTAGGCATTTGATATTTAAAATTAAACTGATGGCTATAGTGCAACCTCGCTTAGGTTGACAAATTTCAGAAAAGAGGTAAAACCTTCCGTTTTGTTTCGCAGGTGGATGTCAACATCCGACAGGTTGTTAGCTCCGTCATTACATCGATCGAGCTAGCAGCTCAGTGCGGCTCAGACGGTTACTATATAACCAAATGCCAAACCGATACCGCTCTACTTTTAATAGTCTTTCACAACTATAAATTAATGATAGAAATATACAACAAGCGTTGACTTTAACAAACATAACTTGGCCACAAAGAAGTGAAAATGTTCGCTAACTAACTAGCATAAAGCTAAGATGACGTTAGCACAGCGAGCTCGAGTCTTTACAGAAACACACGCTAAATAATCAGTTTGTGGGAAGAAAAGTTAGCAAAATACTGTTTTATGCGTAAGAAATTAATTATCATTTTCGCCCTTTTACTCACGCATAGCTGACTTGCCCATTCTTGCATGTTTGCGATAGTTGGGATAGATGAATGAAACTGATGCTAAAGGCTAACAGTGCGCCTGCTGTCAGTGGCAGCTAGCAGCTCAGACATGACCTTCTAAGTCGAAGCTTAAAGAAGCCTTTCTCGGGATAGTTAAGCTCTTAATCTACAAGCCTAATACAAACCTTAGGGCCTGAATTACCGTACCGTCTGGAGATATAATAAAGCTCGCCACACAACAACTTAAAGAGAAAATCTCCAGAAACACCTTACCGTTTCAGGCGTAGTAGGAGCTGGTGGCCTTCGTCTCCTCCCACTTGTTTTATTTCCGTCCTCGAACAACTATGAGGCAACGTCAGCCTTCATTCATTTAGGATGGCTTTGCTGTGTACAGAGCTGGGGGACTGGGCATTTCTTCAACAGTTTGATAAAAACTAAAACTGTCTGTCTGAAAAAACAAAAACAAATTTTCCATTTCCCTTGGTAGCTTTTGCAGTCAGTTTATATTCTGAAGATAAATTATATATATATATATATATATATATATATATATATATATATATATATATATATATATATATATACCAGACTCAAACCAGACTCAAAAGCTCAAAACACAGAAAAGCCTGACAGGCCTTTGTATATATATATATATATACAAAGGCCTGTCAGGCTTTTCTGTGTTTTGAGCTTTTGAGTCTGGTTTGAGTCTGGTTTCAGGGGCGGAGCTAGATAGGGTGGGTAGGGGTTGGGGTGGTCACCCCTGTGACCATTTTTTTTCTCTCAAGCAGAATATTCAAAACAATTAAATTTTATATATATTAACAATTACTTGACAACAAACACACTGTGGTTTACTATTAACGTCAATATAGCAACATTAGTGATAATTAGTACAGAATTCATGCTCTTTCAGAACTAGATTTTGTGTTATATGCCATAAAGAGAAAATTATGTCTGCAAGTCACCTAAGAGTCTTCAGTGAAATCATATATACTGTAAATAACTATTTTAATAAAAACCTAATAAATAATCAATTAATGTAGATATTAGTGCTTGTAAATATCAATTTTATGCAGAATAATTACTGATAGAAGTAGGTAAATAATGACAATGGAGAAGATGTTTGCCCAAAACTCAAACCTGAAAGAATTTTATCCAATATACCTTTTATCTAGACAGATGTTTAGATATAAGCATCTATTTGTTAGCAAAGGCTGTAGGAAACTATAGTTTGTCTTTATTTAGGAATATGGACGTTGTGCTTGTTTCTGTTAGAACAGTGTAGATTGACCCTGAGGTTCTGGTGCCTGTCCACTTTTGGCCACTCCTCAGTGTACATTGGTTATTGCCTGGCCACCCTTCTAAAAGGTTTCTGGCTACGCCTCTGTCTGGTTTCTCTTCCCTTTGTAGACTTGATGCAGGAAAGGAGAAAACAAGCTTAAATTCCTGTTGCACAATTGATAATTTATCTAATGGCAAGTTAGGCCTTCCCTTTTTTAGATAGAAAACAACAATAATAAATAAAAAACTATATGCAAGTAGGCTAGAAGGACTTTTGCTTGTCAAAGCAAATGATATGTGAACAAGCAGTAGAAAGCAAGATAATGGTAGAAAATAAAGATTCTCAACTGCAATTTGACAGCATTTTTAAAGCTGGAACCAGTGTAAAATAAGCTTAATGTTCCTTCTTCTTTTTTTTTTTTTTTTTAGCAGTTGGGGAAAAAAATGTTAGTGAGTGCCTTGTACTCGGTTTTTTGTACTGTCAAAAGGTTCCCATTTGTTACTGCAGAATTTACTCAGTCACTTTAATCTACTAAAGAGAAACATTAAAAAAAGGTATCCATCATTATTTTTTTCAAAATAAAAGGTTTGGTTCATTTCTGGGTTCAAAAGCTAATTGCAATTTTTGAGGGAAGGCAGGCCTTGCGTTGGGGAATAAGTATGTGTTTAGATGATCAAACTGATTTCTGAAATATATTCTATGCAGAATATATTCTGCATACAATATTCTATCCAAAACTGTGAAAAATAAAACAAGTGGACTTTATTTTATAGTTGAAGGCATTTTGACTGTTCTCTTTAAGGGCGTTTTCAATTTAAAGAAAGAGCAGGAGAACTTCCACACCCTTTTGCTGAATGGGTAATTGTGAGTGTGCCACTCTTAGCGAGGACTTTCTTGAAGAAAAAAAATAGATTTCTAATCCCAGCAGGATCTGCCTGGATAAATTAAGGTTGCATAAATACATACATAAGTGTGCCGTGTTGCAATCTAACTTCACATGCAGATTGAAGAGCAAAACCCCTTCAAAACTAAAACAAAAAAAACACATATGTAAACATTTTTTTTTACCTTTTGTTCCATTTTCAAATGCATATACCATGCAGGCAATTTTGTTGAATATTTATTTTGATAATCTTCAGATGCATCAATCATGTTTTTTTCCCCAACCAAAACTTGTACAATTAGCTCCAGCTATGGCATAAAATATAGCAAATCATATTCTAGGTGTGGTTAAAAAAAAAAAATAAATAAATAAACTGTGGTGTAACCGGATGTTTGCAGAGCACACCAGCGACAGACTGGCTAAAGTTAACATGCCAACTAAAATGTGTTTTCTGCACTTTAGAGAAAACACGACCAAATGCAATCAAACATTTCTCAGCAATAAAACTCTTAGGTCACTCAGTATTTTATCTGGTTTATTTGAATTCAACAGTTTAAACTGTTTAAAGGCCTTACCTTACAAAAATCTGGTTTAATTTTTAACCAAACTGTTAACCTATTACAAAGTGAAAAAGAAAATACTGCAAAAAAAAGCCTTTTAAAGCTAGAGAATATTTTTTCTGTATATAAAATAGTCTCCAACATGTGACAACACAGGCAAAACAGTTTGAAAAGAAAAATCTTTATTACAAGAACAACTTAAAAGCATTTTAAGAATTAAAAACACTTTTTTCAGTATCGCTCCAGTATACTTACATAGTACACGGTATCAAGCGAACCATACATTTTTTTTGGTAAAATGGCATCACATCACAAACATTCAGATTTCACTGATTTAGATTAAAGATGAGTGAGAAACTCATGACATTTCAAAATGTGCACAAAAAAGCAAGCTTTTTTTTACTTAAATATTTAATTTTATGACTGTCAACAAAATATTTTCCCATGTTTTCTTGATGTCACAGTTTACAAAGCTGGCAGATTTAAACTACCAGTACATTATTATTTGAATGCACCAAAACAAAATTTAAATTAAATTCAAATGTTAGTTATAAAGAGTTTATACAAGTAAAACCCATGGCTCCAAGACTGATAGAATAATTTATCTGAGGCTATGAGCATCCTTAAATGTTAGAAAGTAGGCCAAATATGTATACTTGTCTAAAGGGTAGTTACAACCCCTTTTAAGGTGGCTATATTTTATCAAAATCCTCACATTGCTGGATTCCCTACATCATGTTTTTGTCAACAGTCCTCCAGACATAGAAGGAATTTGAGCCCACTGAGAGCTGATCCCATAAATAAATAAATTAGATCAAAACCCTTTCCTTCTCTACTCCAACTCTATACATATCACCATACCATATGTACATACATACACACTCAACCTCTACACTTTCTTTTCACCCCATTAACTTACAGTGTGCTGCAAAAACATGCATATAATCCACAGTAATCACACTAAACCCCCAAATTACGTGATGTTTTTGAAGTTCCAGCAAAAACCTTTCAACTTTCAAGTTCATTTAACAAGTTATGCACAAATTTATTACATAAACCAGTATGGCCATTGTCTGCGACTAGTCAGGTCCTCTGTACTGATGGTAACAGCAGCTTCAGAAATAAAAAAAGAAAAAAAAACCAACAACCTTACTCTCCAGTTACCGCATGAATTATTTAAGCCCTTTGGAAACACTCAAGCTACAGTCTTGATCATCCATTTCATCCACTCATTTCTATTTGGGTCATTCCATTGTTACTGGTTCTACCCAGCACCAGGACAAAACAATATAAACATATTCAGGAAAGAAATACAGCAAAATTTGTATTTTAGCCACTAGATGTCACCACCTGGTTGTGTAACCTCCATCACACTGGGATGGAATACATTACTATAGCTCTGATGGGCTGTAACTCTTTATCAAACTAATTGAACAAATAAAACTGGCAATGTTCTTTAGTTTTCAACGTTCACACTCAACATTTTCAATTTATGATACAATTAACACTAAATTATGGTCATGTAGTGTTCCCAAATTCAAGAAATAAAACAAAAACAAGAAAACAAATGACATTCAAAAACCAATACATAACAAAACATTTAAGGCAAGGGGAGTCGTCAAGGCATTCTTTCAAAACCATACATGAATTGCATAGCTAAGGCAGCACAGGCCTTATTACAGGTTAGTATGTACATTTAAACTGTATATTCCATGCCTCCTATTTACAAAAGACACCTAACCAGTACATATTTACACATTCATTCTCGTCAGCACGTGATGTCTGCTGCTCCAATATGTCAAACACTGGAGTGCCTTTTGGTCAGAGAAGTTTTTCAGTTTCAGTGACAATGACGCAAGTATCACAAATCTCAATGCTCTTTGTATTGTTCACAATTAATCCGTTTAAAAGTATAAATTAAAAACATATGCTGCATTAAAATAATCAGATAAGAAAAAAAGTCATAAATAAATAATATTAACCTTGAATACCATGACTGTACAGGAATTAGTTATGGTAATAGTGAACCACAAAGTCAGTGGAAACTGTTGAGTATGTGTATATTATATGTGTACTATAATTAAAGTGTGTGTTTCCTATATCAAGACTACTAACAAGAAGAATCCCACAGTTTTAGTACCTGTAATCTAACTACCAAAGCGAACTGCAACAGAAAACAGTTCATTTGACCATAGTATTAGTGTAGTTTTATAAAGATGAAGCTTCAAATACCTGGCACTTTACCATGCCCCATGATGAGGCACATGGCAGCAAATATGCTCTTCCTATCTCTGGATATCAACTGTGAGAGTGTATGTTGTTGGTAGGGGGGGACGATTTGATTGGCAAAAACAACCCAATACAAACAATGTTTCAATGAAAATAAAAATCATTCCTTTGGTGATAAAAAATTTGGCTTGAGTGCTAAAAAAATGCAAAATAAACCCATACAGGGAAATGCTAGAGATGCACCAACTAATAGGTTGGTGACATTAATAATGTTTTTAGCTTGACCTGCTACTGAGAGCTAAAAAACAAAACAAAAAATTAAAAGTTTGGCTAAACTGCAACACTTTAGATCAAAAAGTACAAAACAAAACCTGCAACTGGATGTTAAACTTAACCTGCCTTTAGGATGTTTAAGCAAAATGAGGGAAACCAAAACTAATCAAGACGGGATACCAGGGAGGTTACCCAGACAGCAGCAAAGTGGCTTAGTGTTAGATGTTTTCTGTCTAAGATACTAAAGACAGTATAGAACTCCTTGCTTTCAATGACCAAATCAAAGTTTTTACAAAATCCAAAGCTCATTGGAACACACATATCTTATTGGTGCATCTTTAGGAAAAGATGAATGAACATTTTCGTTAAATATGGAAAGACAACTATTTCTAGCCCAAGCTTAGCTTTGTTACTAAACGGTAGTTAAACAGTCTGCTGCAACAATCAGTTTTGTGCTATAGCTTCAGTGTCTAGGCTCCCCTGTGCAGGGTAGGAGCAGTCTTTGTTGCCTATGGATGAGGGGTGAGTTGGAGGATGGATCATTTCTGAGAAGTTCTTGCATGAAGCAGGGTTGGAACTCTTACGAGACATTGGTGGTGTGTTGCAGGGTGAAAGAGTTTTATTAGTGTGAATGTTTTTGTGTCTGACAGGTGTAGGGATTCGTGAGGTGGTCTTCTGCAGCCTATTGTCAGCTGGAGGCCTTGACTTTACACCTAGTTTGTGCTCAGAGATAAGGACTTCATGGCTTTGCCCGTTCTCCCCGTTAGTTATCTTTAATGATGGCGAAGGAGACCCCGAGCGGGATTCACTCAAACTGAAGGACATAGAGGAGTTTTCACTTGAAGAATCCTGGAAGGAGCAATCCTCAGAGGGGGCAAGGGGTACAGAGCCTCGACGACCCCCTAAAGGTGGCAGGTTGTCACTACTGTCATAATTTTCAAGGTCATAAGGTAGATTTGGCTGGTGATTTTCTAGGGGAAGATCATGCTCTGTCATGGAGCCCAAACCAAGAGCAGGAGGTTGACTTGAGAGCCCACCTGTTGGAAAACACCCATGTTCTCCATTCATATTTCTGCTATCCATTGCAGGCTGAGATGGGATGTGATTCATTAGCTCATCAGAACCAGTCACCCTAAGGTCAGGCACACTAGAAGGAGCTTCCCTTTCCTTTACTGAGCTACCAATTGCTGGGAGCTTCTTGAGACCCCCTTTGTGCTCCGCCCAGTGTTCATGCTCTGCATGACTCAAACCACCTGGTTCTCCGACTGTTGGTCCATAAAGTATATTTAAAGGGTCCTCCGGTGGGAAATGCCGAGGGTTAGTCCTCTTGGATTCCTTGAGGTCAGGTAGAGTCCTGACCTTTAAACCCACATTAAGGGAAGAGGTGGAGGAGTTAGAGGAAGAGGAAGCAGAATCAGACACAGCAGGCTCAGTGAGTGCCTGTAGGCTTTCTCTTCCTACAACCTTACCAGTAAAATTCTCTCTAACCTGCTGGGTATTGGCCAGAAACTCAGCCTCAAAGCTACGATAGAGGTCCTGTTCCTTCTGGGCGTCCAAAGGTGGCAGCATCTGGAAGCCTAACCCAAGCCCCTCCTCTAAGGCCTCCTGGGATTCCAGGTGAGAGACTTTTTTAGGCTGGCCTCGCATAGCAGATTGGGAAGCCTGTGAGAGCCGAGGGGGGCGGGCAGAATGGTTGTTAGAGTTATGAGGAGATGATTGTGGTGGACGACGCCCTCCAGAGGTGACAGGGGGTAGAAGTTTCCCTTTTCCTGTTGATGGGGGTGTTTGAGGTCTAAGAGCAGAAGCAGTTTTCTTAATGGGACTGTTGTTGCTTTGGAGTCCTTTAACAGGCGAGTTAGTGCAAGAGATGGATTGCTTCTTGCTGAGACCTACACCCCTTCTGGGAGAAGACTGGGCTACCTGTTTAGGGAGGTCATCCTGTCTTGCTACAGGTGGGGGCTGAGAGGTTCTAGAAGAGGAACTATGTGCAGGGCTGCCTTCAGTCGACAAAGAGCTGCAGGTTAACTTACTCTGGCTATGAGAACGAGGAACATGGAGCCTTCTCTGGCCTTCATTTCCACAAGAGCGCCCTCTGTCTGTGCGAGACGCCCGTGTACCATCTGAGGACCCCATTGGTGGGTTGGGTTTTAGTGTTGGTGGAAGTGAAGAACGCTCCCGTGACTGGCTGCGTGCACGGGGCGTTGATGAACGTTTGGCCGGGGTTTCATTTCCTGCGCCTGCCCTCTCAATCATATGCTTCCCTTCCTTACGGTTAACAAGCAGTACCACCTGTTCACCGGAGCGCCGTGAAGGTCCACCAAGTGACTGCCGCCCTCCTCCTCCTCCTTTGGAGGAGGCAGTAGAAGAGTCACTGTCTCCTGAGAGACGTCTTGTCATAGTTTCTTTATTCCTGCATGTAAAGCAGAGACAGAGTTTTAAAATAATGTTGATGCAGTGTCTAACAAAGAAGAGCTGTCCAAAGATGTCCAAATGTTAGGATACATTTTCATAACCTAATATTGTTTTAAACTTTTGCTGAGCTTCATTTACGCTGACCTGCCTGGTCTTTTGTTTTGTTTTTGTCTACATGATTCTGTTTTTTTTTTTAAACAAACTGCTGGGATTTAATCACAGTCATTGACATAATTTCCTAATTATTATAATTCTACTGCCATTTGTTTGTACGACATATTATTAAGGAATATTAGAGACTGAAAAAAAGTGTCAAACATTTTTTATAAAATAAATACTGCATGGACATTTTTTCCAGTCACAAAATATGGTTCAGTTTGTCTTGTTAAATAACATGAAACCCATAATAATTACGGTACTCTAAAATTTTACATCAAACGTTCATCAACACTTTTCATTAGACTTTTCAATATCTCGTATTCCTACTCGTACGTATGATCTAGCATGAACTTAGGGGCACTAAATTAAAACAGTGGATGTGACCTTAGACTCATGCACATCTTGGAACAGACTAGTGACAGCAAGGGGGGATTACAGAGAAGATGAGAGCAACTGGGGGCAGGATTAAAGGTCTTGAAGATCTTCAAGCATAACAGATACTGCTAAGCTTTTCACAAACAGAAACCATTTTGCTGTCAGGCACCTAGAGCATTGGTTCCCAATCCTGCTCCTAAAGTATCACTGTTGTACATTTTTTAGGTGTGGACTTGCTTCCACACACCTGACTTATTTTAATGAGTGATTAACAGGCTTCTGCAGCACATGATAGCTGCAGAGCATCTAATGAAATCATTAGAATCAGGAGTACACAGATCTACATAAAACTTGCAGGGCAGGGGTACTTGAAGACAGGGTTGGGGAGAAAAGGATTGTTGGAATTTCCAACTGTGCATCCATTAACATGTATTAAGATAGAAAAAAAATTAAGTCACATTCTGAAACAATTCTAAAAGACTATAAAGCTTTCTTGTTAGTTTTAGACAGAAATTACCACATTAGAACGGGCTTGGGGTCTAAGTCGAGGCATTTTAAAATGAATGTTATCAGAGGTTCAGACTAAACTCAATTTCCAATACCTAACAAGCTACAGTGAATAATCCAAAATGTTCTTGTGATGATGTAAAAATAGAGATTGACCAACATTAGCCGGATGATATTTTCAGCGTATTTTAGCATTTTTTATTGAGTGTTACATGCATGCTTACATCGATTGATTAGTGCATTCAGCAGCCTTGAGATCATGTGAAGAGCAAGGATTGCCACTGCCTACATCTGTTATTCAATGCTAATGTTTTGTTTGATTTGTTAATAAATGTTTCTTTATTGTTTAAATAGAGACTTACTTAAAATCTTTGAATGTCAGGTCATATAGTTTGTGTAAATGGGGAATTAAAAAAAGAATAGGGGATTCAAAAACTGAATAAATCAGCAGAACATATCAGGGATCGGTTAAACTGAAGTCAAAATAATCAATATCAGCACAGGCCTTAAAAAAATCATCTGTATCGGTCGAGCCTTATAGTGCCTTATAGAAATATTTTCAGAGGTTTGCATGATCAGCTGAATTACTCTGCATTCACAAAATAAAATTGGAATACACATTATCACATTTAATTTCATCTATAAGAGTGGATGGATTTAAATCTTTGTCTTTTTAAGTACTTTGAGTTGACATTTCTTGTAAGTCTGTGCAACATCATATACATGTACTATTCAAGTATGCTACTTAAAGGGCCGGTATGAAAGTAAACCAAAACTAAACTGGAAAATTTATTTTAATGCTAACCTTTATTCTTGCGTTAATTATGTGACTGTTTGGAGAATATACAATATAAAATTGACTAGATGACCAGCTATATTCTGGACCAGTGGCCTCCAGGTTCAGGCCTCAAGTTCCACTACCCTTGAATATTTAAGTATGTCCCTGCTCTAAAACAGCAGTTTTAAATGAATTGATTATTCCATCAGCTTGCCTATCAGGTTTGGTAAAGGCCTTTTAATAAGCCACTCATCTGATTCTGGTTTGCTGCTGCAGGGATGTGGCAAAAATTTAAGTTTTACTGGGGAGAAAAAAGCCCAATGGTTTGGGAGGTCTTTTCATATTTTTTTAACACTCTTATGAGAACTAGGCATAGTAATCTTAACTTTACGACCAGTATTTTGATAAGAGCAATTGCATCTAAGAGGACTTGTATGCTGTTTCTATCTAACAAGAAGGAATGACAAATTCACAGTTCTGTTAAAAAATATCAAATATGCATAGGTGGGTAGTAACTAGTCACATTTAATCAGTTATATTTATTTAAGTAAGATCTTGTACAAAATGCTCCTTTACGAGTAGTTTCACTACACTGCACTTTTCCCCTTTAATTGTGTAATACTATAAGAAAGTATAGTGAGTTACTCTAACTTCAGTAACTGGCTGCTCTACCCACTGTGAGGAACTTTAGGGAATAAAGAACAACCTTGTTTTCACCAAAAATACACTGCAGAGACACACCCACAGTTTATGTTCAAGCAAGACTTCTTGTTTGGACACAAGCTTTGTTGTTTTACTGTTATTCTCTGTGTGCTTAGCTTAATGAGCCATTGGGGAGGTTTAGTGAACATACAGGAAACTGTTTATATTCTTACTCGAAGTACTTTGCATTCTTCTATCATTCAATATATTACCAAAAGTAATGATTCACACTATAAAATCAATGGATTTGGGTGTTGCAATCACTTCTCACTATAAATGGATAAGTCTGATGTAGGGAGACTTGACTAGTGGGGACAAAGTCCTGACATGGAACCTTATTGATCGGTATTAGATTGCATGAAACTTCAAATGTTACTATTAGACTCCATATGATATTTATATGAGCGAAAGAGAAGGGATAAAAGAAGGGATGAGTTATTTATAAAGTTATTTATCTTCTACCCACTAGGGGGTGCTACAGGGTGTTGTAGAGGCAGATTCATCAAGGCAATGTCACCTGAGATTAGATAAATCTACTCTGGTCTAATCTGTGGTTTCCTGGCATGTTTATGCACTCTGCATAAGTACCACACTGTGTATCTATCTGTCAATCTGTGTACACCACACTGAGGGTGCCCAGCCAGTACTCTTGGAAGAACTTGTATCTTGCTTCCCTGAACACCTGTACAGAGGTGAAGACACTCACCTGAGAGGATTAAAGTGTCGCGGTTCTGAGCGATCTCTTGGCAGCTTAGGGAGCAGAGATCGAGGTCCAGCAGTGTCCACCTCTGTACGGACAGAGGAGTTTTGGGATCTACCAGCGCGTGTGGATGAAGAAGATGAGGAGGAGGCGGCGCTCTGAGCAGGCTCCAAGGAGCGCCTGTCAGTGGGTTTATAAGTAGAAATGCCCTCATTCCTCCAGTGTGGCCCAGGGCTGGTGGAGCGGGATGAGTGAGCGCTAGACGACTTGCTCTGGGCTCCCGGACATTGGCCACTTGCTTTAGCCTGGTGGTAGCGGTGAGCTGGGTGGGAAGACACATTAAATGTATTTAACCAATGGTGGTAGAGAGCTTGTACAATTAAGATTGTGGTCAAGAAAAAAAACACATTACATTAAGATCGGAACAGCAGTTGATGAAATAAAATGGTTGCTTGACTCAGAGATGAGCTCTTTATATATACTAGTGAGTCAAAGCAGTTCAGCAAGTTTAACAAGAAAGTCCCAATACAAGACAAACTTCCCGTCACTTCATGTGATTAGAAGTTTAACGGCCAGAATTACCTATAAAGAAACAGCAGTTTGGTTTAAGGTGGCAGGTCTCAGCTTGCACTGTTACATTGGTTCTTAACTTTTATTAAATATGAGAAGTAAGCAGCTTACAAGACCCAAGATTTGCATTTCTGCATGAAATGTGAGAACAACTTAACCCCTAGAACCCGACGGACCCACCGGTGGGTCCAGCTGCCACGTGACCTCGTAATTTTAACAAACCCCCAGTATTGATGTAAAAAACACATTTGGCACAGTTTGGTGACATTTTTGGATAAATGTGCCAAAATGGCCTCTCCGCCTAAGAAATTTCTCACTAATACCATTCTAAAATAAATATGATTCATCTGATTGAGTCCAAATTTGGTATATTTTTACACAACATTTAGATTTAAAAGTCTGTACTACTTTTTTGTGCTATAAATAATATTTTGGTAGTGTTTTGCAATGTTTATTTCAAAGAAAATTTTGGCGAGGTTCAAAAAATGCAAAATATTTTGTATTTTGTCCCTAATATTTCAGGCAGGGTCAAAGCTACAATGGTGCTGACACCAGAAAACCATTCTATGACATCTTACCTTTACAGACGTACCAAAAGTTTCTTCTTAAATCTAATAGCTGTGAGGCTATAAGTGATTTACTTTTGTGTGTTTTTGTCAGGCAGAAGTTTATTTATACCCCCTGAGGGTGTAAGAGGTTAAGAAGGTAAGGAAAATCTGTATTTATTAAGCCCCAAATGACTTACAAGTTTTGTTTGCATTCCTGCTTACATTCACTGAGTCCTCTTACCCTATTTGCGTCTTACAAATTTAGCTCCTTTTCATAGAAGTATTTCCACTGTATTATAATGCAGACTCTTACATTGACATTATTTTTTCTTTCTAAATGACATTTTCAGTCTGGCCTCGTCTTTCTACCCTAATTATGTTGTTTACAGTTATCTTAATTAGTTGATGAGATGCTTTATTATCTGCATCCTGTTGCATTACAAAACATTTCCAGCCCCTTCCAAACATTTTGGAATGTTCGCTTGGTAAACATTTGCAAGAAGTCTGGAAATTAATAATCTTTTACTGCAGAAAAATAATCTCAAATTAAAAGAATAGAAAAAAAAATAATCTAAGTACAATATTTTATAAGAAAGTGAATGGTGTTAAAAAAATACTTAAAAAAAAAATAAAACGTTGGTGGCAAAATAATTTATTTACGTACCAATACCCCCAAACAAAAACAACACAAATTAAATGAATAAGATTTGAACAAATCAGCTTAGTTGTAGGCCATCAAGATTTGCAGGAACCCTGCTAGCTATACATTTAACTGAGGTGTGGTGAACTAGGGAAACATGCAGGTCGTTGTCCTTTAACCCTTTAAAGCCCGATCCAAGAATAAAACAAAACAGAAAATTACTTTTTTTTTGGTTTGAAGTCCTTATTTGGCCTTTTAACAAAATATGTAAAAAGTAAAAACAGAAATACATTTTTGATATTAATAATTTATTACTATGCGATAAGTCAAGATTGTTTTTTGTGTAGTCTTCTGCCCTCTGTTATCAGGTATATCTGATTGTGTACAATAGGATTTTGAGCAAAGTTTTTACCATTAATTTATGCAAAAGGTGTCAGACGCAAAACATTTCAGAAACCGTATGTATCAAATACGATACATTTGGCATTACAGGGTTAAGGAATGCCTTCAGACATGGATGCTATTTACCTTCTAGACTCCTGGGTTATATCTTCTACTCTCTTCTCCAGCTCAGCCAAAATGCTTTATATACGATTTAAGTCTGAGTACTGATGAAGCATAATTAACTTTTTATCTGGTGTTTCTGCTATACTGGTTTGTGAATGAAAGGTTTGGCATGTCTCATTGTGTATTATGTTTTTTTTTTTTTTTTCTTCCACACCAACATGTGTTTTTTAATCATTAAGTTTTTTCAGTCAGGGTTCTGCTCTCCAGATTCGACACACTAAAACAGAGAGATCCGTTTATTTTATCTAACCTCTGCCTTTTACAGTTAGGCCTATAGTCTCATGACTTTTATAAATTATGCAACACATAAACAATAAAACCATTTTTTAAAGCCCTTATGGAGGGCAGGAAGTGATCTCACCGAATGCAGCACAGCGACATGGATCATGCTTGTCCAAATAGTGTTCCAATGTGTCCCAGCCCCCTCCGACCCGCACCATCACATGAGTCCGAAGGACCTGAAGGAGGGGGAGAGAAAACAAGGCTTTAATAAATTAAATCAATGTAACAGATGATGCACATTTATACACAAATAAACTATTTATAGCATAAAAAACTTCATATATATGGAAATTTTACAAGTAGGGCTGTTGAAAGCAGGTTGAACCTCAATATTACATTACATCTACATTTATCCGTTCCTCTTACTGCCATAGCACTCCTTCTCATCTTTACATGCTATATCACCCCCAGCTGCTGTCCTAAAGAGGGTTGATCATCACTACGCCGAGTGATTAAGAAACAAATTAAGGTAGTATAATGAAAAGCCACATATTTCTTCTTTGGGATTTCTGCTTTGCTCCTCAGTTTCTCTTCCTGTGTTTTCACATTGCAGCCGGATGCATTAGAAAGGTATTCTGCTACTCTTGCTTTTATGGATTTCATTTTGTAGGAGCATGTAGGAAAAAAAAGGTCGGGTAGGGGGGCTCAATATGAATTAACAGAGCTGGGGTTGGGGGATATGTCACTTTCTGCTCCTCCATGCTCTTCTTAGCACACGCCCACAAGATCTGGCCAAGGAGCCCCTCGCCCGCTGGGTAGAGACCGCCTTCGTTGAAACTGCACATTTTCCTTGATGTGACAGCTCTGTGAATGCACCCCTTGCGTTGTGTAACACAGTGTGTCAGCCACATGTTTCAAAGGCTGCTCTGCTTCTGAATGCGAGGGCATTTAAGGCAACCCGTATTGTAAAAGATGAGTGAGCCCAGGGTTGATTTAATTCACATTCATACACGGGGCTCTGCATCTTAACATGTAAAGAGGATACAGAAAACAGATGAACCTTGCTTTGTGACCCCTGCCTCTTCTCCAGTGCCATCCAAGAGAGGCTGCTGCGATTTTGTTTCATCTGACTTTGTGCCCTTCTGCATTAAATCTGTCAAAACAGCTCATCTGCTTATCTCTATCAAACTGCGGGCTATAAACTGCTTACTCGCCACTGCTTTGACCCAACGCCAGTAACAGGTTTACTGTCTGCGTAATGCAGCGAACAACCGTGAGCCAGCAATGCAAAGCCAGTAACACGTGTCTAGTAACAGTGTATCATGACTTAGACTTAGACAGACTGTCATTTTGTACACACAGAGTGTATACAAACTGAGATTTCATTCTGTACAGCTCTCAAGACATTTACATTTCTAAAGTGCAGCAGCAATAAAATGTAAACATGGTGATCAAATGTAAACATAAGACTGGTATATGATTTACAGTTTTTCCAACATTCAGGGCTTTTTTTTTTTTAACCCCATTTTATTCAACATTAAGCAGTCTAATGGCGGTGGGGAAGAAGCTGTTTTGGAATCTGCCAAACCTGCATCAGATGCTTTGAAGCCTCTTCCCAGAGGGCAGCAGGGAGAACAGTCCATGGTGGGGGTGTGAGGGGTCATTTATAATGTTACGGAATCATGTCACACAGCGCTGGGATGAAATGTCTTTTAATGGAGGGAAGAGGAGCCCTGATGATCTTCTCTGCAGTTCTCATTTTTATCATATTTTAAGCATCTCTGCTGACAGACCTTGACAAAAGATTTCCAGAAACTAATCTGTGTTTTCTTACTCCTTCTTAATGCATGTTTATTTAATCTTTGAACACTTCTATCTAACTTGTTTGTTGCTGCTGTATCACAGTGGAGTAGCTGTGATGATGGTGCCAGCAGCAGAAAATACCAACTATAGAAGAGACTGTTTTTTCGCTTTCATTTCACAAGGCTAAAGAAAAAGAAATCACCGTGCTATGGATGGATTTCATATTAACATAAAAACATTACATTTTAAATAAACAAAAAATCTTTATGCACCTTGAAACGTTCTTCAATTTATGTCTCAAACACAAATTCCATATTATTCATTAGGATTCTGTGTAATAAGGCAGTTATATGAGTCTATACAAACAAAGTAAAATGATGCCTTTCTTTTGTTTGCTTTTAAACAATAAGACAATATTGAGCGTACAGATGCCTTAAAAGTATAGTAGAGGATTTTCTCGATTTTCACGAAAGACCCGCCCTCTCCACTTTAAATAAAAAATGCACATGCACAACCCTGTACCTGCTCCCGAGAGGCAATACCTACTGTATTAAACGCGTGCAAGGGGAATGCACGAGCCCATTTCTCCTCATGCATGCTCTGTTTAAAGGTTGCTGTTTGCATCGCTCACACAAGCTTACTCCAAAAGAAGATTTGCAATTTTTCCACTATGTCAGATTTATCACTCATTAGTGAAAATTGGGATAAGCAAGTAGGATGGCCTTACGTAAACATATCACCACAATGATTGACAATTAGGGGAACCGCTTATTTTGATGATCCACCCTATAAAAGAACATCCTCCACTATACCTTTAATAGAATCCAGTCCAGCCAATTGCTTTCCGAAATCAACTAATTAAAATTTATTTTATTATGTTGTTTTTATGTTTTTTTATATGTCTTATTGTAATGCTGCCTCTTGGCCAGGTCTCCCTCGAAAAAGAGATTTTATCTCAAGGGACTTCCTGGTAAAATAAAGGTTAAATAAAATAAATAAAAAAAGAAAACATCATAAAGACCAAGTAACCAGGAAGACAGGTTGGCTAGAACATGATGGAGAAGTTTGAAACGAGGTTAGGTTATCAAACGTTTTAAATCTCATGGAGACTGTGCAATAATCCACCACCTGGAAATAAGAAGAGTAGGATACTACACAGGACAAGTCCATTGACCTAAACTGGTATAGGGAAGGGTTGCATCATTCAGAAGGGTAGAAAGACAGCCACTGTTACCGTGGAGGAGCTGCAGAGATTTATAGCTCAGGTAAAAAGTTTTGTCATAACTATCAATCATAAGATCCACAAATCTCTAAGTGGAGGAGTGTTAAAAAAAACAAAAACAATTGATGATGTCCGTGAGGCAGACACCCTGTCTACTTTTAAGGCTAGACTTAAAACTTTCCTTTTTGATAAAGCTTATAGTTAAGTTAGGGTGGCTCAGGTTATCCTGAGCTATCTCTATAGTTATGCTGCTATAGGCTTAGACTTCTGGAGGACATAGGGACCCCCATTTCATCAATCTGCTTCATTCTCTCTCTGTTCTCCTATTCTGCAGAATCTGTTAGTTCAATCTCTAACCTTCTGCTCTCTCTGCTTTTCCTCAGAGTAGCTTTGCCCCGTCTGTTCCTGTTTGGCTGTGACGTCATCCTGGAAAGAAACATCAGCTGTGCTGCTTCCATCAACACCCTTGTTTATAGATGTTGGAGATCGGCCTGTTTTCAGGTTGTCCTGTTTCTCTGACCGTGACTGAGTGGATGTGCTCTCTTCGTCCTCTGGCATGGGAGCTGGCTTGGAGTTTGTCTGCCTGGCTGTGTGTTTCCTGGATGGGGCCGCCTTTTGCAGCTGCTTTTTGTATCTCTGCTTCTGTCTCCTTGAACCCCAGTCGGCCTCGGCAGATGGCCGCTCACACTGAGCCTGGTTCTGCTGGAGGTTTCTTCCTGTTAAAAGGGAGTTTTTCCTCTCCACTGTCGCTACAAGCATGCTTACTGTGAGGGATTGTATTTGAGTCAATGAGTCAATGCAATCAACTGGTTTTCCTTAGATAGAAACCTTTTAATCAATTTGACTGGATGATCTGGTTGAACTGTAAAGTGCCTTGAGATGACATGTGTTGTGAATTTGGCGCTATATAAATAAACTGAATTGAATTGAATTGAAACTAAAGGGAATGGGGTGCTTTAAACACAAGAGAACAAAATAGCACTTTGAATGTTTATGATGGAAAAGTAACACAGAGCACTACACTGAGCCCACCACAAACACTAACATGGAGGAGGCAGGGTCATGCTGTGGTGATGCTGGTCTTCAGCTGGGAAAGGGAAGCTGTTCAGAGTTGATGGGGGGCTTAAACTAAACACAGATGTCAATGTCTTTATCCTTGGTCCTGAATGTGTGTGTAATGCAAAAGTCCCAGAGCTGGCAAACGATATACAGCTCTGACTACAGGGAGAGTTTCTTAAACAAAAACATTCAGGAACACACAATGCAAACATAACTAAGAACTTTAATCTCTGTTTGTATAGCAATGTGCAAACCACAGATCTATTTACTTTGTGCTAGTCCATCAAACACAATCCCAACATAATTCTTGGGAGGTTGTGGGTGAGACATGACAAATTGTGAGCAGCTTTATGATTTAAGGATAGTTTTACTGTATAAGGCATTGTGAGTATAACTGATGATAAATAGCAGCAGTTTCAGACAGTGACTTACTGAGGCAAGCAAAAATAAATCATTGGAATTTTTCTTCTCTTATAACTACTTTCTCTCTTTGTTTATTCAATACACATTAGCAGCACTGAGAGGTTCCTCACTGCATGTTAAGGAACCATGTTCCACTTTGAAACTGAGGCTAAGCTGCCTGGTTGAGAAAACTGAGGGGGGGGGGGTTAACAGAGGTTTTAAGACCACAGAGACACGATCCGTGTTTCTATGGGAACAGCGAACATAGAGACTTCTTGTCATCATTGCTGAGGCGTGTTCAACCATTGTCCTGATATTAAACTTGAGGTTCATTTCAGCTATTGTTCCCAGTGAGCAAACTTCTCTTCCCACTGAGAAGTAGCCCACACCCAGAGGACAAAAACATCCCATTACCAACAACCCCACCATTCATAGGGTGCTGTTTGCTTTCATGACCTCATCCCATTTCAGTGTGAGATCCTTGTCACTGCTTTAGTAGATGACTAGGAGGTTGTAGGCTTCTAAGCCCTTATACCTCCTAGGAGATGAATAAAGGAAGTGTGTAGTATGCACTTGTAACTGCTTAGGCAAGTGCATAATCACCGTCATCCCTAGCGATGAATCAGCAGAGGGAGGAAGCAAGGGAGTCTGAGAAATAAAAGGCTTCCAGGCATGCAAACAATCACAAACCCCTACAGTGTCTCAAATATCACAACCTGAAATGACTCCTAAAGAGGCAATCGGCAAACAAACATTTTGCAAAGCAATTTAACACAAATCATAAGGGATATGTAGATGTCAGGAAATATGAGCAGGAATAGCATTTTCCTCTTAATTGAAAAACATACAGTTCTGTTTTTAAATACTCACAAATGATTAAATTACTTTGCTACGAGGGCAAGGAAAATGTGCAAAGATTAAACTATGTTGTCTCCTCAAAACAAATTATCCAAACTAGATATCTTAGGAAAAAAACGAAAAAAAAGTAGACTATTTATATAACTGTACCCCAAGTACTGAAAAAACAAAAGATTGGGCTTATTTTATTATTTTATTAATTTTACTCAAATTTTTTCCGGAAAAGAGGATAATACCACAGACTACGTTACCTTTCTTAAGCATAATATACTTTGATTCTGGTTCTTTAACCAGTTTTGACTTATTATAAGTGTGAGGTTGAAAGTATATTTCATCTTTTTTTTTTTTTCAAGTTTTACACTTTAATTAATTTTTTTTCTGCCCTTGACAGGTCGCTTTGGGGGGAAAAAAAGATTTTGATCTTCAATATGGCTTTACCTGTTTATATAAAGACCATGATTGGCCATACTTTCTGTTGTTTTTTTCTTTTTTTTTATTACTTTACTTTCTTTTTTTAATGAGACCAACATTAACAGAAACTAAACACTACGGATGATTCTGTTTATGACTACCATAAATGTTTTAATACACTCAGTCTTTCAATTCTCAGTGTCTTTGTCATCTAGTCTATAATTTCTTATGTTTGGGGGCTCTGAAGTGTTAACATATGCCTCATTTTTCATATTATATACACTGTCAAAACAACTGGAGTTGGATACAATCTGCCTGGTTTCTCGTCCTTTTGAGGGTTTTCTTAGGAACTACTGTCAGAAATAAGTCCAGATATCTATCAATGTACTAAAGTATTTCTCAAAAAATTTACCAAGATAAAAGCAGAGATGTTCAAAGGTGTATTATGTCTAAAGAATATTCTTAGAAAAAAAATAATTGCAGTGCTCTATTTATTGAGTCTACTGTTAAGCCCAAAATTATTTATACATCGGTCAGACTTAAATTTAAATCTTTTAAGTTTTATCCATTTGTTTCTTCTGCCTGGAAGTAATATTAGTGTTTTTGAGTGTGCCATGATGTTAAATATAATTGTGATTGGGTAGAGGAGGCCTTCCGACCTTAAGGATTTAGAGCTCAACACCCAAAAAATAACCTAAAAAAAACAAACAAACTGAGGAGACACATAAAAAGCTGCTCAGCAACTACCAGAAGGGTTAAATTGCTTTAATACCAATAGAAATTTAACAGTGCTACCAAGTGCACCACTTTACAGCTTATAAAAGATCATTAGTGACCATTGATGTCAAAGTTTGTAGCATTTAGCAACATTTCAAACTACGCAAGAAGTGCTGCATTTCACTAGCATAGGGAGTTTGCCCAAATGAGATCTGAGTTGCTGGTAGAGACTTCTATTTCTTTATCAAGTCAAAGCCTAAAACTGAATCCACCGTGTATACTTTAACTACTTTTATACAGTAGCATACTGTAAATCAAACAATAGAGTGTATAAAATAAAATGCAACACACCTACATATATCTGCAGGCAAAGACCAATTGGTGCGACTGGAAGTGACAAATACTATTGGTAGCTGCAGTCAGAAAGTCTGATGGTGTAAACTAAATACAGGGAAACTGGAAAACCATCCAAAGAGTCCATTAATCGTGCTGTGATAGATCTGAGGCACGAGAGACCAAATCGATCTCCACTGAACCGGCCTTCCTGTAATATCCCCAAAGGCCTGGTAAGGGCACATATCGACGCCCAAACTGGAAAGGGGAGACGAAAACAGTGCAGGCAGGAATCCAGCTACAGCCAAGATAAGGAGAACACAGGAAATGACTTAAAACTCTATTTGCGTCTGTATAGAAAACATTTCTTCCTGGGTGTGGGCCAGAGAAACGCAGCTTGGAAAAAATCACATAAGAAGAAGAAATCACAGTGTTTTTACATGAAAGCTTATGGCACGCTTTAAAGTGCTGTGATTCAGTCAAACCACTGAGTGTTGTTGCCTCATAACCCATGAAACAACACATGATGCCATATGCTGACAACATATGGTTCCACTCAATTACTGCACCTCTTTGGTGCCAAATATAGTAGCAGAATAACTGGAACTAAAAACACTCATTTATAGCCTCTGCTTTAGCTTTTAACGTTTCATTTTGGTTCGGTCAGTTACCTCAACTTTAGTTCAACAGAGAACCAGGGAAGAAAATGTTTGAGCTTATTAGTTTTAAGATGAAACTTGAAAATAATCCACCTTTTTTTTCTAAACCATAAACCTTCATACACATTAAATGACTTTTTTAGAAAACAAAACTATCATTACCTGATAACTTTCATATCAAAGGAGCTACTTCTACCTCTCATTCCCTTTCCAGCAATACTGCAGGATAGAGAGAGGTCGCTTGAGGTTTCCCAAGTTTTTGCTGAAGTACATAATTCTCACACATGCTCAGCTGCGGCTGTAAATAATCTGAGAACTTGAACAGCACAGAGCGTGTAGAGGCAGAGCTTGAAACAAAGACACCTTCAAAAGTGTCTGTGTTGCACAATGTTTCGTAGCCATTATTATGAAATGCTTTACAAATTGGAAGAGAACCCAAATAAAACAACGTGAGGCTATCAATTTGCTGCTAGAATTTTCAAAACCCAAAAATCATTTCTGAATAATAACAACATTCAAGTGACTGGATGCATCTGGGATTTACCAAAACATCACAAGACCTGCATAAAGCCAACTGACTGGGGATGTTATGTGTTCATTTGCCTGTAAAATACCAGATATGAACAGGGAGCATAAGTCTTTTTCTTTACTTTAATGTCGCCTTTTAATGGTACTTTTTTAAATATAAAAAAATTTTTAATTTAAAATAAATGCTATTTTTTACAACTACACCATCTGCAAATGTGGTTTGATCTTGATAACCTTCTTTGTAAGAATGGGATGAGGCAAAATCAGGAACATGTTTATATTGAACATGTTTTGCTTAAGACAATACAATTGGGGGAAATTGTTACCAGAACTTTGTCCAAAGGATAACTAGTTCAACCTGATCATAATCAGATGGTAGAAATCCACTTTACTTGCTTAAAATAGCATATTTGCCTCAGTAAAATCATAGAAATTAAATAAAATTTAAAGCATTTATTTGCAGAGTTACATATCTAATGACAATAAGAACCTATCTATCAATTATTCAGCTTAAAGTTTAAAACTCTACTAAAAAAATACAATGATATTCAAAACATAAGGAAATGTACAGCACAGCTAAAAAGTAAAAAAAATGCAGCTTGTTAAACAATGAGAGAAAATTCCAAAAGATTAGACCTACCCTGATGAAGATCAGCGCACTGGAGTCTCCTACTTTATACTTCCCCTCGGACACTTTAATCATAGGAAACTGAGCTGGGCAGGAACACTGGCCAAGGATCTCACGTACCTGGTCAGAACAAAAAAACAACAACACATATTACTTAAACAATGAGAGTTCACAAATGTGACTAAACACATCACTAAAACATCTTCCTGTTCTTTGAGGAGATCATGATTGGTCATAATGATGTGTAACCGGGGATTAAAGCGCTGCTGGACAAGAAAGCTTCAGTAATAAAATGACTTTTTCACAGTGGGAGAAATGAACAATCATTTGACAGTCTGAGAGTTAGAGGATGTTTTAGTCATCTTCCTGCTAGGTTTCCTCCCAAACCACCTCCTCCTACCAAAAGTAGAAGTGTCCCTCACCTAAAATGATCAAACTATTTTCTAATTTCCAGCTTATATCTCACACCACATCTCCATTTTAATCATGAACCCTCTCTTTCCTAACAGTGAAATGACATGTGCAACATAAAGGACCGAAAGCTTAGAGCCCGTTGCTGCTGATGATGATGTAAGCAGGCCTGTGTTGCCAGCTGGGATCTGAATTGGGATTCAGAGCCGGCGCCCTTGCTGTGGTCGAAGGGGGTGCTTATTAGGCAAGCAGGAGTCAGACACAACTGCAGGGTGGAGTGAGATCAGCTCTCTACTGCACATGCCCAAGCTCTGTCTGGAATGGTCGGCCCTGATGTTTGTCTTGGCGTCTGTGTCAGACAAAGGCGTGTGCACACTTGTCAATGAGGAGGTAGAGAAAGTGGAGCACCAAGAGAGCAGAAAGCACAGGAGGAGCGGATCAGTAAATGCTTCTTTACTGTGTGTGCAAGGACAACAAGACCAGGGTACAATGAAAAAAATCAAATGACAGGTTAGGAGAAGATTGTTGGTTATAAGCTTTAAAGCTTTGAATGTTTACAGCACCTTTCATGAGGTACATCAGGCTAAAGGGATATATTTTGCTTTTGGCGTGATGCACCGTGTTATTTTCTTAAAATGGCATCCTTCTTTTATCCAAGACTAATTAAAGAGGGGTGACTCTAAGCACTAAGCCTCTGAACCTCACCTCCAACTAAGTTCTCCGTTTCACCTGTTAAAGCTCCTGCTTACTTCTTCAGTCTTTCGTCTACTAAGAAAGGGTCAAATGGTTTCCTACTTCATTAAGCACATAGAACAAACTGCATAAATAACTGCATTTTAACTCCAGAAAACATTAAAGAAAAATTTATTCTCAATTGCTTTTCAAAGCAGGAGTACAATTTTAAAGTAGTTTTTTTTTTTATAAAAGGAGAAACAGGTGAGATCCATGACGGTGAATAAGTGAATAACATGACGTTCTCCTCAGCCTAAAGAAAATGATTATGTCATGATTAGTGGTGGAGGACTAAGGGCAACAGGCCATTCGTAGGTGCATGTTTAAAGGAGATATACTTTTATGAAAACAATAACTCCAACACAGAGGTTAGGGTGACAGCAGCGGGATGTGAACAAGATGTCAGAGAATAAGACAGCGAATTGAGAGAAAACAGACATAAATACAACAAGGATTAACTGAAATCAGGTGAGTGCAAACTGACAGTTTCACAAAAGCTTTATGATAACTTTCTTTAACCCAAGATTTTTTAAATGATAGCAGTCACAGAAACCTGAGGAAAGGGGAAAACAGAGTTTATGCTTTCAGTTTCACAGAAAGCAGCAACAGCTGCTGTTTGTAAGCATAACATTTATCAGGTACAAAATATTTATTTTAAACACAGTTAGCATATTTTGTGAGACCTATCATTTCAAAAAATTTGGTGATGATCACAGAAAATAGGAAAATAGTGAAAAATATCTTCCATTTCCTCCTAGATGCCTATCCAATTATTAGTTAGCTTGGGTGTGATTTTTTTTTTTTATATCTGCTAGTGCTAAATAAAAAAAAAACACTGATCTGCAACTGCGGTCTGATTGCATCCCAGTATTTTAACCTCCTTTCCATCCACTACATTTTCACCCACTGAGCAACAGAACTGACTTTAATGTTAAGGCTATATTAAGACCTCAGTGTTAAATCTATATGCAGCTCTGGTTAAGACAGAGACCTTTTGCCTGATTAGATCAAGGGGAAACATCTGGTCTTAAAGTAGACAAAGCTCAGATCTAAAACTAAACTGAAGCTTAAAACCTTTTATATAGCATTACTATTGTGTTATCAAGTTAAGGAAAAATGACAGTTTGAAAGGTAAACCTGAGAGAACAGTGGAAATATTTTGTCACATTGGGGTATCTGTGGCACTCATGCAAAATGGAAACACCCTGCATTTTAATCTAAAGTGCCAGAAAAAAAAATCTAATGTGCATGTTATTCACCTTAACAAAGGAGGCATGGAAAAAATAAACCAATTTGTTTTTTTTTAAAGGCATTAGTGGTATTTTAGTGGCAATAAAAAGATTACAGATAATAAACGAGACCCAAGTTTAGGGTTTTTTTTCTACACCAAGTGTTGGTTCAAACTTTAAAAACAAAGCTATACTTGTTAAACTGGTCTTGAAGTAAACAGATCTTAGTATAGAGGTATATGAGACAATTATACATTGCTTAGATGGATTTAATCAGTGAAAAGCAAAAGATTAAATTGGTATTTAAGATCAAAATAACACATAAAGGAAAACTAAATGCTTCAGGTCTGACAGGGTGGTGTGACAGGATTCCCTCGGAATAATGTTTCATCAGCAACATGAATGCAATGTTTTAAAATCAACAGGACTAAAACACATGCTGTTTATACAGTCGGTAAAATAAGTATTGAACATGATACAGTTTTTGCTGACATCAACTTTTTATCAAGTGTTGGTAAAAACCCAAGTAATAAGCTCAGAAAATATGGAATGACACAGAAAAAAAAGGATTGAACACATACAGAAAGGGGGGTAGAAAATGGCATGAAAAGCCAAGACACCAGCTGAAAGCAATCACTGATGAAGAAGCCATCCTGTCCCTCATCAGTTCAAATGAAAATCAGCTGGTTAGGTCCAAACGAACAGTTGACTGCCTTAAAAGGTGTGGCATTAGCATTATTTCTAAAGTTCCAGTAAGCACTGCTTTGGTCATAATCAGGAAGTGGAACGACCATAGGTCAAATAGAAACCAGCCCAACCAGGTGCTCCCCACAAGATCACTTACAGAGGAGGGAAAATAGTTGTCCAAGAGCCAGAAAGACCTGAACTTAGCAGGTATGATCGTAAAAAAAAAAGAGAGAAAAAAAAAAAGAAAACAACAATCAATGGACTTAATGGCCAATGTCTGTATGCATACTCATCATGCAAGACCATTTCTGAAGAAAAAAGAAAAAATATGTTGAAGCTTATTTAAGATTTGCTGCACAACACTTGGGCAAAATACTGTGAGAACAAAGTCTGATCAGATGAGAGCAATATTTAACTCTTTGAAAGCCAGGACACCCACCCTGTTTGGAGGGGAAAAAATTTACTAAGCATCACCCCAAAAGTACAAAACCGACATGGAACTTTGAAGGTTGGAATATCATGGTCTGGGGCTGTGTTCCTGCATATGGAACTGGCAAACTTAATTGGAAAAAAAAATATGCAGCAAGAAATACTTGGAAAGAAATAAACACAGAGCTAAGGAAATACTCAACTGGCTTTAGAAAAGAAAATGAAGCTGCTAGGATGGCCTAGCCAGTCACCTGACTTGATGCAATGAAAATCTATAGAAAGAGTTCAAAACAATCAGAGTTCACAGAAGAGAAGAACCGAGATTTTAAGGCCAAAATCACAGCTAAGCAATGCAGGTGGCTATTTTCTTCATACAGGAGCCGCCTTGATGTCATCTGTACCATCAAATGCTTTTGTACAAGGTAAATATCAATAGGCATGTTTTTAAGTTTTAAGTTTTCCCCTGTTTCAAGTTATTGCATGTTTCTATATATGGATGACTTGTTGCAAACAGCTGGTGAACATTTCATGTCAATAGCATCTTTAGCAAGTGACGTGTTCAGTTCTTACTTAGTATGAGGTCATCTATATAGAAATGTACTTACAGTCAGCTACCATGGTGACAGACCTGCAATATGATTATGCAAGTATGCAGACATTAGAGCAACAATGAAAGGTCAAAACGTGGGCAAAATTAAATATATAGGACTACTGTTGAATTTTCATGTCTAGAGGCTTTTTGTTTTTCCTTTAAATGCTATTTTTCCAACACTGTTGTTTGTTGTAGGTATAGGTCTCCCCCAGACATCTCTCTGACAGTGATGGTTCTTTTAGACTCTGAATGATTGCTTTTAGACATTCCCACTGACCTCTTTTTACTGGATACATTAATTTTAAAAACTTCAACTTGTGATCCCAAATTCAAACTGCAGAATCTCCTCTTTTCACTTTTGTTTTTGGTACACTTTCTTACAACTGTTATATGTTTGTTTTCCAAGCATAACGTCACCATCTATTTTGCAACTTTCAGCTGCTTTCTCAGCTGCCTTGTGCTTGTTTTTTTTTTCCTTCACGCTATTTTACATATTTCCTTGTTTCTGTCATGAAAATGTATATAACTATCATGAGTTATAAAGGAGAAAAGGAAAAACTGTTAAAACTATATATATACTGTATATGTTTACTTCACCTTTTCTCTGCTGCCCTTTCTATCGTCAGTTCATAAAATGAGCAGATGATTTTGGAAAAACCCCAGCCGGTGAGTAAATGGAAACGTTGCTCTAACAACCAACACACAGACACACATAGTCCCACTCTTCCCTTTTTCACATTTAGCCCTCACCTCAACTGAGGTCATGAGGTTTTTTTTTTTTATGGTAGGAACCAGCACCTCGACAGACCGTCTAACACAGCGTCTCACATGAAGCACAGAGCAAGAAAATGACAAATAAAGTGCCTGAATAATAAGCTAATCAATATCAATCCTGTCAGTTTCACTGTTTGCATGGAGGACCATTTGGTGAGAAGTGTGTGCACCTCCCCTGTCTTCACTGTTTCAACAAAGCTGGAAACACTGAAACCAAAACATAAATATACCAGCACACACACCCACCCACATACATGTTATGTTCT